GCAATCAATTAAAAGAAAACATTGAGCCATGATCCAACGTTATTCTTATTCAGCAGATAGGAGAACAATAAAGTACTCCATAGCAATAAAGCATAATTATTTGAAAGAACAAATCTTTACCAAAATAAATCTGCTGGGTTAACAAAGAAGCTGATATTTGGACCCGAACCAAATGATCTACCTCCTCGCCTCTTACGACTGTCGTCTTCACTGTCAAAACCAGTATGTATAGGAAGTTTGTCAGACCATGGTACTAGATTTGGGAATGACGATAATATGACAATGACTTGTGGACATAGCATTGAAAAAATACCTTCCACTTGAAGCAGCTATAAGAATTGCTGTAAACACAAGAATAATTGAAGCAATTAATGTTGTCCCAAATGAAACCCTTATAAGATATTCAGCTCCAGACTGCCAAAAAAGTTAGCAAAGGTGTTGACAAAAAGAAAAAAGATCCAAAGAATAGACCTAAAAAATCATTTATTTCCATGATAATTAAAAGATGATAATACCTTCGCCTTATCAGCCCAGGGTTCAATTTTCATTCTGAAGGATTTACCCACAAGCCTTGAACGATAATCTTTTGGGAAAACATAGAGAACATCACCTTCATCTGATACCTATTAAACAGTTGCAATGAAAACACGGAATATCAAGACCTATAAACGCCAAAGACATGCAAATAAGATGGCATTCACATAAATATTAGAAAAATTAAATTGTGGAATAGCTAGGAATATATCACGGAAAGATGAAGAGGTACAAATGAATCAACAAAAAGTACTTTCAATTGAACTCTCTAATCCAGATGCTGGGATTTTTGAGGACAAGTAGCAGTGCAAACTGCAAAGCGTATAATCACCACCAACCGAACAGGTAATTCATAATTACATCAACAAAAACAGGTAATTGAGGATTTAATTAGGCAGTGAAATTTGCATCAAATGTGTCTGTTCTTCATACATGAAGTGGCAAATTTTGATAAAACAGTAAATACCTAGTTGTCCAAAGGAAAAAAAGAAATCAATAACACCATTTTGATACCACCAGCCCCTTTAAGCTAAGGGAGTAATGCACAGACATCGCCTTGAGTAATATACTTTTTACTAATTGCTTTAATCACTTGACTGAACTGATCTAGTCGATTGTAACCCGAAGTATGACTGAAAAACCTCCTTCGATGTTTACTAGTTCGTAGTCTCCTACCATCATTATGCGCGACTAGTGATAAACTGATAAATCACCAATGGCGTAAGCAAACGCACAAAAGTTCTCGCAAATTATAGTTTTACAATCAATCACCCATTAAATTCAATTTGCTAATTTAACATCATATAATGAATAATCTTACAATTACAAACAACTAGCTTCAAAAAATATATGCCAAATTTTAAATATATCATTCAATCAAACAATCAAAATAACAATTTAACAGATAAATAATTACAATAAAACAACTAGAAAATTAAATTAACTTCAAAATCAAATTCATATTCATGATTATACCTCTAAGAAACCCTCAGTATCAGTAGCAAGTGCTTGCAAAGCTTTCTGAGCTTCATTCAATTTAAGCCCAGCTTTGCTAGCAACATCACCAATGGTGACTCTTCCTCCACTAGAATCAATGGCGTCCATAGCTCGCTTTCGAACATCTGACGGAAGCTTATCGCTCTCCACCAATTTCCCCGGCTTAAACGACGTCGCAACATCGATGCTACTGCTGCTAGCTCTAATAGTCCTAATTCTAACCCTAGAATTCTTTCTCAGAATTGGCAATGGTAAGTTGAATTTTTGAAAGGAAGGATGGTGGTGCTTGAAGACGACATTAATGGCGGAAGAAGAAGAAGAAGAAATTGAGAAGTTTCTGGAGAGAGAAAATTGGCGGGATTTGGGAGTTGAAGAAAGACAGATTGAAATCATGGATGTCATTTGAAAGGTTGAATGAAGGAGAAAAGGGTTTGGCTTGGTTTACATTACAGGTTCTTTTGAAGGTTTATTACAAAGGTTGAGTTGTGTACTTGTTTTGGATTGTTGGATTTTTTGTTGAAGTGTGATAATTTCATGATTTGGAGTTGAGTGGTTCACAAAGAGAAGAGTAGCCACTTTGAATCTTTTCATCCTACTTCAATTAGGGGTGGGCAAAAACTCGTAACCGTTAACTTATATAATTGGCTCGTTTACACGGTTAATTTACCGAATCGTTAATTTAAACCGTTATGGCTAATCGAACCGTTATATATAGGTACATTTAAAATTTTAAGCAAACAGTTAACCGATGATTAATTGTTAAAATATATATATATATATATATATATATATATATATTTTCATAATTTTTGTGGGAAAAATATTTAATGAAAATAAATATATATTGTTTTATTTAATTTTTGTAGGAGAAATATATAATGATGCAAGTTAATCTTCTAGGTTGCTGGTTTGCCAATATGTCATGGTCTCAATTTGAAGATGAAAATTTAATATGTCTAATATCATTAGATTGTATGTCTTTGTTAGGCTTTTAAAAAAAAACTTAGTAATTAAACTTTGTAATGTATTTGGTTTATCAGTTTGTTTTCTTAATTGGAACATGAATTTTATTTTGGTAAAGATGAATTGGAACATGAATTTTTATTTTGGTAGTGGTTTACCTGTAACCGTTCCTTAATGGTACGGTTATGGTTTGGATTTTTTAGTAACTGACATAACAGTAACTGTACCGTTAAGACTAAACGGTATGGTTAACCTATTATGCCCAGCCCTAACTTCAAGTGGATTGCTAAACATCGCCCGCAAATCTCCACATAAAGCCCACAAACTTATATTGAAGTTACAATATTGCCCTTGACCTTAAAAAAACACAACCTCAATAAAAATCAAAGTACGGGGATGTCGAGGCTCGTGGCGGCAAGGTGGTTGGCTCGTGGCGGCAAGGTAGTGGTGGCTCGTGGCGACAAGGTGGTGGTGGCGCCAGGTCCAGCAGCCACGTCCACCGGCCTGGCGTCTGGGCAGGACGCCCAGCCACGGTGAGTGGCGTTTGGGACAGGCGCCAGTCACTGTGGCTGGGCGTCCTGCCAGGCCGGTGGACGTGGCTGCCGGACCTGGCGCCACCACCAGCCACGGGCCGTCCTGGCCAGGCGCCCCAGCTGCCTTAAATTTTTTTTTTTTAATTTTTTTTTTTTTTGGAAAATCAGAAAATTTTTCTAATTTTTTTTTAATGTGTTTGATTTTTTTTTAATAATTATTAATTTTATGTGTTATTTTTTATAAGTCTAGTATATATATTTTTTATAAAATCAAATAAAAAACATAAATTTCCACATCCTAAATCAAAACATAAATTTTAATAAACATAATTTAAAAAAAAAAAAGGCAAAAAAAAAAAAAATTAAAAAGTAAGGGCGGCGTCCAAACCAGACGCCAGTGCACTGGTGGTGGCGCTTGGCCTGGACGCCAGTGCACTGGTTGAGGCGCCTGGGCTAGACGCCAGTGCACTGGTTGTGGCGTCTGGCCTGGACGCCAGTGCACTGGTTGTGGCGCCTTGCCTGGACGTCCTTGCCATGGTTCCGGCGTCCAAACTAGGCGCCACCTCGTTTTCCGTCGAAGACGACGTATCTCCGGCGACCCTCGCCTCTCCGGCCTCCCTGGGCAACCCAGTACGACTCCACATTTGTTAGATCGAGATTTGTTCACTTTGGGTACGATTTTAGAAATGGGCAAAATTGTCAAACTATGTCTAATTTGTGGGCTTTATGTGGAGATTTGCGGGCGATGTTTAACAAATCCCAACTTCAATTATGCGTATGATATTACAAGTAACAAGCCTTTGGTTCGGCTCTATGGTTAAACTCAATTACTTATAACTTTGTATCAACAATCTCTAGTAGATGTGCAAAAAAAAAAAAAAAAAAAAAAAAAAAAAAAAAAAAAACCTCTAGTTGATCCTTTTTAAAAAAAAAAAAAAAATTACAATAGTTTACATTGAGTAAAACATTTAAGAATGAATAAAATACTCTATACTTTATAAATTTATTAAGCCTTTTTTTTTAGAGCATATTTTAGGTCATGTTTACTTCAACATATTTTAGAGCATATCAGAAAAAATAAGTTCAGATCAGTTAAGAGATAATAAATTCTAACATATGGAGTATATATATTATCGTTTTATGTGCAGATTTTATTGCTAAATACCTTTAATTTTGTAATGAAATATTATAAATACTAGATATTAATAAAATATGATTCGTACATCATTACGAATCTAACCAAACACAACTTGATAGATTTTTTCTTTATAAATTATCATACACATAAACATAAAGTCAAAGTTTGATCAAGTCAAACAAGACTCAACTTGATATATTTACCAATGTTGTCAGGTAATTAGTCTTTCATTTTTAGTTTTATTTTTTGGCAGGAGATTTGTGTTTCATTGTATAAACTATTTAATCTTCTTATATGTAATTGTAAATGTTAATGGTGAAAGATCTAAGATCATATTCACTTCACCTTAAAATATAGGTTTAATTCGTATATTATTCAATCAATTAATTAAAGTCTTAATCCCATAAGTAGGGTCGGCTAACATGAACCAAATTTGATTATTCTACGTAGTCATCAACGAAATAATCAAATTTGGTTCATGGTAGCCGATTCCACCAAATTTTTATTTAGCAAAAATAATTTCAGCTCAGCAAAACTTAGGCCCTGTTCTTTAGAGCTGCTTTGCTCTGCTCTACTCTGCTTTGCTCTGCTCTGCTGAAATCTGCTCAGCTCAGCTCTGCTCTGCTTCAATCTGCTCTGCTCTGCTTAAAAATAGTACTAAAAAATAGCTGCTTCAATCTGCTCTGCTCTGCTCTACCCTGCTCTGCTCTGCTCAGAAACTCAAAAGAACAGGGCATTAGTAAATCTTAAGAAGAAATTAAACAAAAAAAAAAAAAAAAAAATTTGTAAATATAATTTTATTTCAGTGCAATTAAAAGGCGAACACTAAAAATAGGGCCACATAAGTTTTGGTCCGGAAAACAGTTAAGTTTACCAATGACCACAAAACGGTAACTGAAACTGCATTTCTCCATCTTCACGTATTCTGGGCTGACTGCACTCTCTGTTTCTTTCTCAGCATTACAACAATGGCAGCACCAAAACTGCCAATATCTATACTCAATAATACTACAGTTAAATCAATGGCGAATGATCGCACCATGCTTCGTTATCCTCCTTCCAAACCGCAGCAACGCCCAACCATGTCGGCTTTCGAAGCTCGCGTCTCTCTCCTCTTCGCGCTCGCTTCGCAATCTGCTTCTGTATCTCAGCGAGGTTAATTATGAAATTATTTGTTTGTAATTCAATGAGTTTCAATTGATTTTTCAGTTTATTGTCTTGAATTTTCTAGGTTTTCTAGTTTGATTGATTTTATGTATGTTTATGTGCTTTGATTATAATATGCAGTTGTGGCTGATTTAATATCTGAGACTAGCAAGTATGTTGTTCCGAAGCGATTCGAGAGTCGGAATCTCGAAGAAGCTTTGATGACTGGTACTCCTTCATCTTCCTCTTAGCTTAGCCTCTTTTGTTAATTATTTTACTAATTGTAGCAAGTTTGATTAGTATTGAGAAATTTGATATTGTAATTGTATATTGGCATTGAGAAATTTAATTTACATTAGCATTGGGAAATTTAATTTACATGAATAACAAAAGGTTGCTGGTTTGTGCAAATTATTTCATTAGGAGAAGTGATTCAACTGTTAATGATGAAAGTTTAGTAACATAGTTGAGTAGATTCGCTTAGGCTAAAATTCTGACATTAAAATAAGAGTCTGATAGGAAGATTATACAAGTGTTAATTGTAGTGTTCTAGTGTTTGTTGAGAAGTGGTGGATAGGGAGTAGAGTTTCCGAGTGTATCTTCGCTTATTTATTGAGGTGAAATCAGCTCGTCTAGCAGCTTCACAATCTAGCCACCACATAACATTTATCTATTGCTTGCTATGCTTACAAGAGAATGAAAAGGAATGGTTTAAAGGAACATAAGAGGATGGTTGTACCCCTATTGTTTCAATAAAAATTGAATTTGTTTTAGGGTAAAAAAAAGCTATAATTTTCTTTATTTTATAGCCTTCATTTTCTATCAGCATACTCTCATTCCAAGTCCTAAATTTGTCACTAGTTGGTCCTTTTTTTCGAGAAGTAAAGAAGGAAGAGGGTGTCTTTTGTTGTGGGGATTTTGACTTTGATAGTAAAGACAATTGGCTAGAATTACAAGTAAGATTGTGGAGTATTCATAACAACAAATAAAAACAACAACACCATAGCCTTATTCCCAAATGCATGAACCAAGAGTCTATCTCATGTGTTCATCCATAAAGATCCTCCTCCTTGAGCATGAGACAAGATGATATTGTGGATTATATTGGTAAAAGTTGGAAAAACTTAATGAAGGAAATCATGGCAAAGTAGACAAAAGTATTCACAAGAAGTGATACCATTCTGATGCATTTGTCTTGTGTGAGAGGATTTCCATCAGCAAGAACATCATGCGTTAGTGCCTAACGGTCGCAGATAAATTTTGTGGCTAATTCTAATCCAGTAAATTTTGAAGAATTTGGCCATATCAATTGTACTACTTTTAAGAATAACTTCTATTTGCTGTGATATATCATTCCACTAAAGCTATTAATGTTTTTTTGGGTCTTGTTTCTAGTTCCGGACCTTGAGACTGTGAATTTTAAGGTGTTGAGTAGGAAGGACAAGTATGAGATCCGAGAAGTTGAGGTATCAACACTTCCAAACCACATTCTTTATTTTGTTGATAAGGAATACTTAAGAGTGTCAACTTGTAACTTAAGTTGCCTAGTATCTTTTCTTCATTGTTACAAAAAATATTGTTTTTTTGAATATGTTGTTCTTCATTTGAGTTCAATGAGTATAATAGAGGGAGAATTTGCAATTGTGTATACTTGTTAAAGAACTATCTCTACTCCCCAACATATGTGTGCATTCGTTTCACTTGAACTAATTAGACTTGATTGAATCTAACATGCCCTAATTTTACCTTATGTTTACACCTGATTGGACCTGATAACCTTGATTAGCCAGAAACTTATTTTCAAAAGGTGAAGAGAATGCACCCTAAATACTTACTCTTAGTTCAAATGTGTTTGTGGCTTTGTGCAATGATTTGTATGAGGAGAAATAATGTGTGATTTTGTAAAGTGCAAACATATGTTTGGATTTCTTATAGCTTTTTTTAGCTCAGATGAGAGGAGGGAAGCATAGAAGTTTTATTGTTTATTAGTTTGTTTCCTTCTGTTATGTTGCTTAGAGCCTTAGACTTTAGTTAGTATCTTTTCTGTATCTTTGTTCAATTTTCATGTGTTGGTTGGCATTGAGCCTTTGAGGGTAGTGTTTTGCTGAAAACATTTCTTATTTTCACCTTTTGTGTTGGATTCCAGCACTGTGAGTTCTTTCATGGTGGAAAACTATCTCACTGGATGGGACAAACAATATTCTCCAGTTCTCCACTACACAATTTTAATATTGCGAAAAACTATCTGCAAAGTTCTAACTCATATATTGTTTTTATAGTAGCATTGATTATGCAAGTTTAATACTTTGTATGTGGTAGCATCAGATTTTGCTAGTTGATTACTTTGAATGTGGTAGCATCACTCTCCATACCTTTGCAATCTCTTTGTCCATTCCTTATGAGCTAGTGCTTTTAACTAATTAAAGATTTTTGAATTTGCACTAGCCTTACTTTATAGCAGAGACAACCATGCCTGGGAAAGAAGGCTTTGATTTCTTTGGATCTTCTCAGTCCTTCAATATGTTAGCTGAGTATTTGTTTGGTAAGGTATTCATCAATATCTCTTCCAGTCTTTTGAGTGGTTATCTCTTATTTTTGTAGTGCAAGAAAGGGTGGTCCACTCTCGTAACTTGTGTACTATATTGTGCTGAGATTGTGGCTCTAACGTGGACTATCACTTCGTAGAATATAACAAATGAGAAAATGGAGATGACAACACCTGTTATCACCCGTAGGACATCTGATGGAGAGAAAATGGAAATGACGACCCCTGTGATTACAAGGAGGGTAAGAATTTATCATTCTAGTTCCTATTTTCTGCTCACAGTTTCTGCACTATTTTTTTTTCTTTTTATAACAGGTTACTTTGAACTACACTGGCCTTTTTTGTGTTGTCACATTTAGCTGCCCTAGAACATTATTTATTTATTATTTTTTTCTGCAAGTGTATATGATTCTTCATGCATTTGGGCTTATGGAATATGTCAAACTTCTTAGGGAAGGGGTCAAGAAAAATGGAAGATGTCTTTTGTCTTGCCTTCAAAATATGGTTCCAATTTGCCCATACCTAAAGATTCAGCTGTGAAGGTCACTGAGGTGCCAAAGAAAATAGTTGCAGTTGCTGCCTTCTCAGGTTAGTCCTCTTATTATTCTATGAGGAGAAATGGAGGGAAAAAAAAGATATCATTACTGATTTTGACTCTGAACTTAAACCCGAAAAAAATTCTGGAGGATAATATGTTTGATAATTGGCCATTGGCAGCTTAACTAAACATATTGAAATTAACATGGCTTAATAAGGATATCTAAACACATGGAAATATCTATCTACAAATAACTAGTGTTGCTATAATAAACAGGATTGTGCTTAGTATACAGTTGTGATTGATTTCAAGATTCGTATACTACACATGCAGCCCGAAAGATAACATACCAGACAACGCTATTGTGGAATCCAGCTGCATCATATTTCTGAAGTATACATCCATATACATTTTCTTGTAACTCTTGTATCCGAGTTTTGTTTATTTATTATAGGTTATTTTAGATTTTAACACCTGCTAAAAACCCGAAAATGGTTTTTAACACCTCCAAAAAATAAAAATTGATTTTAACACCACCCAAATTTCAAAAAATTGGGTATTACCACCACGTAACTGATTCCGTTTACAAATCCGTCAAGTAGGGCCATATAGACACGTGTCGCTTTGTTATTGGCCAAAAAATTAAAAAAAAAAAATTTAAAAAAAAATTAAAAAAAACCTAAAACTACCTCAGCCACCCCAGCCCCACCCATCGCGCCACCACCACCGTCCCCAAACCCACCCCCTGCCGGCGTCCGGCGTCCCAGAGAATCGCTCGGCACCGGCGACCCCACCCCCACCACCCTTTCATCCACCTACGTACTCCACCCCTTCCCTTTCCCCATTTTCGTTTCCCGACTCACCACCCCGAAACCACCCTAAACGCCCCTCCCCCGGAAAATGCCCCTCCTCCCCTTTCTCCTCCCCCGGAAAATGCCCCTCCTCCCCTTTCTCCTCCCCCGGAAACGCCCTCCCTCTCCTTTCCCCCTCCCTTAATCGATTCCCTACCACCCCAAACGAAACCCTAAAACCCGTTTAGGGTGGTTTCGGGGTTGTTGGTAGGGAAACGAAAATGGGGAAAGGGAAGGGGTGGGGTGCGTAGGTGGAGGAAAGGGTGGTGGGGGTGGGGTTGCCGGCGCCGGGCGATTCTCTGGGACGCTGGACGCCGGAAGGGTTGGGTTTGGGGACGACAGTGGTGGCGCGGTGGGTGGGTCTGGGGTGGCCGGGGTAGTTTTAGGTTTTTAATTTTTATTTATTTTTTTTAAAACAAATAAAATAGTGACATGTGTCACTGTGGACCACATTTAACGGAATTTTTTAACGGAAACCGTTAAGTGGTGGTAATACCAATTTTTTGGAAATTTGTATGGTGTTAATACCCATTTTTTTTTTTGGAGGTGTTAAAAACCATTTTCGTGTTTTTAGCAGGTGTTAAAATCTAAAAAAAAACCTTTATTATATTATTATTATTTCTGTTGTTGTGATGTGAATAAAATCTTCACAGCACAGAGTTATGCCGTCCATGAATGCTTAAATTAGATTCCTGATGGCTATTTATGAAACAAGTAACAAATTAATCGCATTTCTGTCAATTTTGAGCTCCATTTATTTACTGTAGTAGTCTGAGAGATAAGATAGATTGGAAAACAAAAATTAAAGACAGTTTTTTAAGTTTTCTGTATGGACAACTATTACACCAGTTTCAGTCCCCCTCTGCATTTCACATAAATCATTATTAAAGGGATGGTGGCCTTGAGGATAAAAGAATATAGCCATATCCTATTGGCAATGTGCATTTAAGTGACTATCTTGTTAGAGGAACTTTACCCAATGAACTCTTTGCTAAAAGCAGCAAAGCCAAACCTATCAAGGTAGTACAGGTTAGAAAGATCACATCTTGCACATGAAGAATAGCATTGATTGGTATTAGAAGAATATTCCAAGAAAACTCCTCTGAGTATGGGATGTTAAATTTTGAAAAAGCTCAGGACCTTTACTCTAGGGTGAGTTGAAGAGTTTTTATACTTTTGAGTGTGCTTAAAAGTTGCTCACCGGATGTTGGTATGACAATATTTTCTTGATAAGATTATATCAGCTTGGTTGTTTCTCTGATATCTAAGATTATATTTCTTATTGTTTGATTCTCTGTGCAATGCTTGCTTATTTGCATCATATAGTCTAATGTTTGATATTCTTCTACTCATGGTAAACTTGCTCTAAATAATTTGTTGTAATCTTATAATTGGAAACTAGGTAATGTCACTGATGAAGAGGTCAAACAACGAGAGTCAAAATTGAGAGATGCTCTGAAGAATGACTTGGAGTTTGAAGTTAAAGTGGGAGCTGAAGTAGAAGTTGCACAGGTAATACACTAATACCATAGGGTTTCTGAGAATGATTTGGTGGAATTATTAAATTTTTGACACCTACTTTTTTCCCAGATAGGTAATACATTCTATTTCTAATCAAGTGAATAAATTAGAGGTAGAATGTTGGGGCAAAAATATTCATTTTTTCATAAGCAGAGTTTTTCCAAGTGTTGCTTCGAATTTAACAAGGTTTTATTTTTGCAGTATAACCCACCATTCACACTTCCATTTACTCGCCGTAATGAAATTTCTCTAGAAGTTGAAAGGAGGAACACTAGTTCTTAACAGCTCATACGGGATCCTTGAATGGAGAAGCACCAGATTATAGTCAATGACTTGATGAAGAACAAAATGATGTAAGAGTGTGCTTAGATCCTTTGAATGTTTATATATACAATTATCTTGTAATATAATTTATTTATGTATTTATCTTTTTCCTGCCTGTAGTCAATTTACAACTATTACCCTATCACCTTGGAAAAAAAAAAGTGTACCATCTTGTGAGTGTTAAACTCTTTCAAACGATGTGAATATCATTTAAAATAATTTCAGGGCTTTGCAATAAATTTTGGGCATTATCTGGTGCTAGTTATCTGTCGTACTCTTTCAAACTCATAGTTACATTGTGGAGTGATTGTGTTTTGTGTATGTGTGTTTTTACTAAAGTTGTATGAATATATTTGAGCTTCAATATGCCGAGTTTGCTTGAAATTCTAAGAGAACAATTAGATTTGTGATTCCTAATATGTTTACCATGCAGAAGGCAATTTCCATTATTGTTTGCTCCCAAAGTTTACCGTCAGTTTCTTCTGTCATTTCAGAAAAGTGCTCTGAAGGTTAGCACCTGTTTCAGATATGTTTGTTCAGCTTCTTAATCCGGTACTTTCAATTTCATATCACTTTCATATCAATTACGGTTTGAATTCGATTCCCTTTCTAGGTGAAATCCATGCAGTAACAGTGTTTGAGAACCACAGATTATGATTCAGATAGTTGCTCCAGGAAATAGAATGATTTCTTTTAAAAATTTCTCCTCTTTTTTGAATTCAAAACATCAGTTCCCTACTCTTAAGCACTTTGATAGGATTGAGGCTTCCTAATGAATGCAAGTATTTTCTTGGTTGACAGAATAATAAAAATTAAAAAATAAAAATAAAAAAACTTGGAAAGTGGATATTATGGAGTAGCTTAGTTGACGAAAATATTATGAGTTAGTATTACTTTTCGTTAAATGTGAGGAATTGCTTACCTCTAGCCAAGTTGAACTTTTTATGTGGGAAGTAATATTACTCATGATTGATCAAACAACTTTTTACTCTTCCTAGGAACTGGAACTACTTAGGAAAGTCAACTTCTTAGGAAAAAACACTTCTTAGGAAGTATTACTTCCAAAGGCTCCTATGTTCATGATCTTTTGATTGAACATAGCACGAATAGAAAGTTGATTTTGTTACCATATGATTTCATTATAATGATAAAAGTTGTTTGGTTAATCATGGGAAGTAAAACACTCTGCAAGAAGTTTAACTTCATTCTAGGGGGAACTATAACTTCCTAGGAAGTTATATTATGGTGCCTTCAATTATTTTTGTTTCCTTAATTAGTTTTGTTTCCTTGTTTATATTACGTAAACCAAACAAACACTATATTTGCTTATAGTTGCAGATTACTTTAGGCTCAGTTCACCATTGTTTGGTTTGCTTTCTCATTTCTTTACCAGTCTTCTTTTCTTTCTCTGCTGGTAGATAAGCATAACCTTTGTGGTGCCAATGGGGTTGATAGATGTTCCACTTATGTTTATTTTCTATTTTTCATTTTTTAATCATCTTTCCATCTTATCACATTTTTGTTGTTTCAGTTTAATTTAAGAACCATTCATTCTATATTTACTATTCAATGCAGAAAATTATTATCATGTTAAATGTCATGGTAATAATTAATTGATTCTAGTAGTGGGTTTAATTATGGAGTATGAATATAAAACTCGAGATGATGTAGAATCAAAAGGTGAATGATTTGTAAGATAGAAAAGTAAATTTAGGAGAAATAAAAAAAAAAAAGAAACTAGTTCTGTGTATGTGATGATCAGTATTTGAACATGTCAAACCCCTGTATTACTTCAAGGCCCCAGGTTAAAATGATTATCATGCAATATGTAAGAAGCAACAACTACTTTAACCAATTTTTTCTGAGGTTGCTATTATGAGAAGTGTGGTGGGGATTATAGTTCTACCTAGTAAATTTGCCTGGTCAACCACCAATATATCATGGTGCTGGTAGTGATGTCTATTTCTTGACTATGAAAGTAGTATTTGTTGTAACTTACACATATTAACCATCCATTTTCGCAGGAGTTGAACATGCCATTGCTAAAGAAACCTTTTGTTTTTTGTTGTCTTTGATTGTAATGGACTTGATCAAACCTTTGACTAAACTGTACTTGCTTCTTTTGAAGTATCGTGCTAGTTTATACTTTTCCAGGCCAACGGTATGGTGAAATACAAAAAATTGTCTCTTTGCAAGCATGTGTATTGCATATGATGAGAAGTACTTGATGTGTGTTATGGTGTTATTCATTTATTTCTGTTGTCAAAGAGATTAAAGCCTTTGAATAGAGATCAGTAGGTGATTCTTCCTTGGATTTTCTGCATAAACTGCAGAGTTCTTACCTAGAATTGGACATATAAATTATAATATTTCTTATAATTTATAACTGACATTGTTCCTTAATATAATAACTCTGGATGATCTTGTAAAAATGCATTGCATCAAATTGGGATCATATGGCTTATATACTCTACCTTTGGGGATCTATGCATCAACAATTACCACCATCTATAGCAGATTTCATTATTCGCATGATTTGTGGGTATTGTAGATGTACATGATCTTTCCTCAAAGAGTCAGATTGATTTTGTTTCGGATCTTTAGAAAGTGTAAGCTGGTTAAGGCTAGACTAGATTTATTTGTGCTATTGATTGTAGATTGTCCTCCTGATAAGCTTGTTATTCCTTAGGTTAAACTCGACTTTTCAAACGTGTCCTAAAATCTAGTTGGTAAAGTTAAGTTTGAGAGGAACAGGTAGGTGCTGAAGTAATAATCAAAGAAAGAGGTTATCATGGATAAGAGAATTAGAGATTAAGGAATATAAAAAGAAGATAAAATTAGGTTAGTCTGTCCTGGAGATGTTGACAGCCATGCCAGTTGAAAGGCATGCTCTCTAACATCAACATAGGTGGACCAATTAGGAGTATTTTTACTACCCTACCCGAGTTATGACATTCTCTTTTCACTTTTAACTTTGATTTTCTGTGCCTGAACTAGACTTATTTAATGAAGATCTATGGTCAACGCAGACAACTTCTTCTTCAGTACACTTTTGCCTCCACAACAGGTCTGAAGCTCTGAACTGCAGTTTTATTTGTACTCAACTTTGTTAAATCTGTGTTAGTGTTACTAGTTACATGACCTGCCTTGACTCACTAAGAAACTTGTATGAAGGTCACATTTTCTGTTTTTGAAGATAAGAATCTTAATTTTTCTATTTCCTGCAAGTTTTTTCCCCTCAACTATGGATCACAAAATTACCTTTTTCTTTTTTTCTAATAATATCTTAAGAGTAAACTAAACTAGTTTATAATTACCCTTTTCATTATTTTGTTTAGTTACAATTTTTTTAAAAAAAATTTAGATGTACAAACAAAAGATTAATTTATTGTTTAGTTTTTGTGTTTGTGTTGTATGGAAATCATTAATCTTCACCAATCTCTTGTATCTGTTTTCATGCAACGTAGATGACTGTTCTGGATGCTGTAGGCATTTAGCTAATAGATGTTTGGACAACCAACAAAAAAGACACAAAAGCAACACTTGAGAGTAAGAATACTAGCTAACAGAATGTTTTGTATTAATATGTTAGATTGTATGGTGTTGAAACAAAATATATGGAAACAGTTTGTATTAGTCTACTTCATGTATGTTTCTTAAAGCAGGCATCCATGTCTTGCTTCCATAACTCTGCTCATCGAACTTCTCAGTCCGACACCTATCATTCAGTGGCTTTGAAACTAGTTCATCCAGTGAGACAGCACCTTTTTCTAGCATCTCCTTCAGCTCTTGCTTGCTGATGACCAACTTTATGGTTAAACTTTTGTCTTCGCTCTTACTTTCTTTCACTTTTTCTGGTTCAGCAAACCTTACCTTCTTTTTAACCTTTGGAGATTGAACTGGAAGAGGTGTAAGATAGTATAGGTGACCCGCCACCAATTCGATATTTGGCTTCATATATTGCAGGACTGGAAGATTATCTGACAGTCCATGTCCCTGGAATTCTGACAACACGTCGATTACTCTCATGGATGCTTTGTATTCGAGTATCTTACCATCGGGTTTCGCAACCTGTACTAGTTTTCCTTGTGATCTTAAGCAATTCCCCATGACTGAATTGCTTTTAAGTATGGATATTTTAGAGATTGATAGGAGAATGAGAACTATTTTTAGTGAACTATCAAAGGATTATGTTATGGAATTTACAAATTTAAAGGCCAGTGGCTAAGAGCTTTATATACAAGTCTGATTTCTTCTGACCCCACTTCTTGATTTGGTTGATTTTGAGTTGGACTAAAAACTTTGTTTATTGTTTACTTTTTGTGAAGTGATTGTGACTTGATTGAGAGTTGAGACAGGATTATCCCATCAAAAAGCACTAAATTTATAAGTTGTGCAACAATGTGCTCTTTTGTCGTTATCTTGAAAGTGACTTAAACAACATAATAAAACTCTGTTTTTACTTCTTTTGGCTGGTTAGCAAGGTAGGAGTAAGGCAAGACAATCCAATCTTTGGTAGAAAATTGCCATAGTGGTAGCACACGGCTAATTGGTTATGGTGGCGTACTCACTCCATCCCAATTTAATCGCTACACTGACTTCTGTACTATTTATATAATAATTTCAACAGTTCACTAATATATAAATGCATAGGTGTATTTATGATATTGGAGTCATTTTGATGTGTATGTTCATTTAAAATTTCAACAGTTCACTAATATATGAATGCATAGGTATATTTGTGATATTGGAATCATTTTGATGTGTATGTTCATTTATAATTCATACTAGAAAATTATTAAATATAATGATTAAAATTGTGTGTCGAGCCATTGAAAAAATCAAACGTGGCAATCAAATTGGGGTAGAGGGAGTACATATTCGTAGATACACTTTGAATGATTTTAATGTATATCTTACAGTAAATACTTTAATGATTTTAATATATATCTTACAATAATACCTTAAATGATCGCGGTGGTATATTAGATTATCGTGAATCTCATGATGGTTAATATGTGCACAAGTTGGTAATTCTCAAGTAGTGATTTTATCATCGAGGAGCAAGTTGGAGATAGTTTTTGGATTCACTGTATGCCATATTCATTTGTTATGATTAGCTACTTTATTTTTTATATTTTGTTTTTTCTAGAACCACTAAGGTTAATTAGATAGTGGGCGGTTGTATACAGCCTGATTTGCTTGACTATTGTATTGTAAAAATTGACTATCTTTTTATTGTAGGAAATGAAGTTCATTGGATTAAGAACGCATGCTTGAAGATATAGATAAAGAATTAAGTCTTTGCTTTGATCTTGGTCGGTAAAAGCTTGAAAAGCATAGCTGATCTTTCGTATAAACATAGGGCTGTTAATCAAGCTTTAAAAGCCAGAGCAATTTATATCTTTTGTTTTAAGTTATATCTTTCTTTTTTCGATAACTTAAATGTTCTTTCATATTTTAATAATTTACAAACTCCAAAAACACAAAAACAATAAAGATACTGAAATATGGATGACTATTATCCCATGTACAATCTACAATACTCTAGAGTTGGGTATTTGGTCTTATTCGTTGATGGAACCCTAGGTAATATACATTATATATATCCCGTACTAGATGGAATATGAAATACAACGTAACAACCTTCCCTCATCTCTCTATATTTTCTCTTCCATATTTAACACGTTATCAGAATGAGTATGTCTTTTCAAGCATTTGAAGTTATTTTAAATATAGCCGAGTTATATTCACTAACAGATTTAAAATCTTGCAATCTCAAATTCAACCATTCATAACGAGCTCTCGGGAGTATCATTGTTTTTTGGTGGTCATACCTTTCCTTTAGATTACTCCAAAGGATTTGTGGGTCTTTCACAGTTAAATATTCATTTTTGAGCCCTTCATGGAGGTGATGGTGAAGAAAAATCATGGCTTTAGCCTCTTTTATTGTTTCACCAACCCCTTTAGCATCTAGGTGTATTTCAGCATGTAACACCCATGATAAATAATTCTTTCCGGTAATATCAAGGGCCACAAATTCAAGGTTGGCAAGGTTCGACATCTTTCACTATACAAAATAATATTAAAAAATAAGTATATATAAATAGTATCCAAATATATGTACTAAACGTTATAATCATGCATAAATAAACCTGATACAAATCATGCATAAATAAGAACGAAATAGAATATGAGATGTTAGCATGGAGAAAAATAAGAATGGAACCTTAAATTATATATCATGCTTCTGTATTCGTTATATATATTGATATTCCAATAAATAAGCATGCAAAAGTAACATATAAATGTTAAATTATAATTGTTATGGGATGCGATTATACTTACATGATAACAATAATATGAGATTCTAGATAAAAGTTTGGTAATCCTACTCAGTTGACTAGCAATGGTGCTGATAACGTATTAAATATGGAAGAGAAAATATAGAGAGATGAGGGAAGATTGTTACGCTGTATTTCATATTCCATCTAGTACGGGATATATATAATGTACATGAGTATTCTAGATTGTAAAACTATTTGAAATGTAATTGGTAAAGATTTGGCCCTCTTTTAGATTTTTAATTGCCTTATTTTCACTTATTTAAAGTTAAATAAGGAATTTTTTTTATAAAAAAATAAAATAAAATAAGAGTTATCTAAATTCAGTTTACAGGTAACATTATACTCCGTATGAAGAACAACGCAATCTTATTGTAATCATACTCGGGATAAAGTAGATAATGTGTAATTTATTGGAACTACTATAGGAAAGAAAAATATAGGATAGATAAAAATTACTAGCTGCACTTTTTTACCGTCCAATTGTGGCTTTCAAATTCTGTTAGTGGAAGTTGCTTTTGGTTGCTTTACTATTTGAAACTTGGGTAATGGAATTCGTATTGCTTGATTGCTGAATTAATTCTGTATTTACCTTAATTATGTCTCCTTATTACTTTCTTGGACGCCACTAAATAATGGCATAATTGGGTTTGGATTAGGAGCTCGAGTCTTGGCTGTTGTCTCAATTAGTGCTTGGTGATGGACTGATGGTGTAAAAGTCTCAGCATTTTTGTGTATGTGAACTCTGTTGTTTTCTCAAAGTCTACCCCATTCATTGGCCATTGCTTAACATGTTATAGTGCATGCTGGTGGAGTTGAAAATTATTCATTGGGTGGCCAAACTTATGTTGATAATGTGTATTTATTAGGAAAACTATGACCGAAAATAAAGCTTTAATGAATAAGTGACTAGTGTGCGATTCGAGCGATGTTCTGGATGAAACTGATGGAAAATAATAAAACGCAAAATAAACACATATAATCAAAGTTGCGTAGGAGATATATTTTGAGTAAAAATAAGAAAGCATAAATATAGCTAAGATAGTAAGACTTATAAGTTAGTTATTTCAAGAGAGACAAGGTCCTTAACCAGCTAAGCCAGCCTTAATTCCCCTTTTAAGTTATTTATTGATGGACATAAGTTCAAACTATGAGTAAATAAATTTCATATATACTTTCATACTTTAATACTTAGAGTCTGTTCCCATACGTTTATTTTCAATTCAGTTTAGCTTAGTTCAATTCAGTTCAGTTCAACTGATTTCCTTCTCTTATAATATATTCAATTCAGTTCAGCTGAATTCAGTCAACGAGAACATGCCCTTAGTGTATAATATATACTTTTATATTTTAATATTTTGTATATTATGTACTACAATTGAGGGTTATTTTCCATGTAATACACAATTACTTTTTTTTTTTTTGAAAACTGTAATACACAATTACTTAGTAAAACTCTTTAAGTGTTTTTTTTTTGGGTAAGAAATGAGGTCGTAAATAATTTAGGTTATAATACATGTCAGCGTGATGAATGTGCTTATGTAAAAGATACATAATGAAAATATCCACTAATGAAGTAATGATGTATCCACTAGCAGTTAATCTCATGATTCATGCTTTACTTTGAGGAGGAAAAATTAGCCACTGTTAAGCCCGTATATGTGTTTTGTATTTAGTTGGTTAACGAGCTACGTTAAGGCCCTTGGCTTAGGTTGTATATATACCTTATTAACACTCAATACAAACTAAGAATACACATTCTTGACATGGTATTAGGCAAGCAACAATTTTTGTTTTTACTTGGCAAGTTGGGCATTGAAAATTTGCATGCTCCAACTTGAGGGGGGTGTTAAGCCCGTATATATGTTTTGTATTTAGTTGGTTAACGGGCTACGTTTAGGCCCTTGGCTTAGGTTGTATATATAGCTTACTAACTCTCAATACAAACTAAGAATACACATTCTGATTGACAGCCAGTCAGTCAACTAATAGATATTGGCCAATACACCGTAGAACTATTAGTTAAGAGAAAAAATACAAGTTAAATTACTAGGATAAACTTTTGGTGTGTTTATCCTAGGGGTAGCAAACTAGAAACATAGTTTTTTCCAGCAAAAAGTAAGGACATTGAAGCCAAAAAACTTTGAACTAGGTTTATAGCTTCAATGTCCTTTATTCATCCATCTGTTCTTAGGGTTTTCGTTTACTTTAACCCCGAAAATGATTGTTGGGGTTGTCTCCATTAAAGCATTGAGATCTATATCCTCCACTGAAGCTGCTTTGAATTTCTACATTGAAGATGGTGTTTTCCATTTTTTAAAAAATAGATTTGCTTTTTTAATTGAAAATAAATATGTTTGTCTAATGATCTAGCTCAAAAAAATTTAAATGGATACTGCTCGTTAGTTAATCACTTTATCCTCTTAGGCATGCAAATAGATTTATTGGGAAATGAGGATGAAGATCATCAAATGAGCAAGCTATATTGGGCTCAAAATAGATTTATTCTATAAAATTATAAATTAGTTTAGCACTCTTGTTTATAATTCAACGTTCATTTTACACAAAATTTTAGGAAGTGAGTTTAATGAGTAATGAATCATATTTGCTTTACGATTCAAAACATCCAATCTCATGGGAATGAATGAACCATCTGCAAAATTAAAAAATGACTTCTCTCTCTAGAAGTGTAGTCATCAGGGACTATCCCTAACACCTTGGTGTTTAGGGCCCTGGGAACTTTCTTCTTGCAGAGTGTAAGTCGGGGTGTTCATTTTAGGCTATTTCTTAGCCTTAGTTTGAGTTTTTTCTTTTGCAGGTTTTTCTTAATCAAGTTCACATCAGTCAAGTTGGTGTCCTAGTGTCCTATGGAGTCTCCAGTGGATATGGAAGTTTCGGTAGAGCAGTTGCAGATCACATCTGAAGTACTTTCAGAAACAGAACATTCTGAGAAGGCAAAGGCAGATAACATTCAGCCTAGCTCATCTGATGAGCAGAAGGTGGTTCGAATGAGTAGCATTCAGGAAAAGGTTAGTGACAAACCAAGGGAGAGTACTAAAGGTTCATTCAGAGAGGCAGTGGCAAAGTCCTCCCAGTGGTTCAAGGAAGCCAGGCAGATTGTAATGAATTCACAACAGTGGGATGAGGAAGATGGGGAGGATTTACAGCATGCCCATGCTGTTAAATTCTCAGGCCCTCAGGCAGCCATGGGCGCTAACCCTTATAAGGAAATGCTTAGGAATAAAAATCAGGGTGGAATTCCTTACTCAGAGAGTACAGAGAATGTGGAATGTAAAGGGGGGGCTAGAGATAATCGAAATGGAGGGAGGTTCGTTTCTTTTCAGATTCACATTACAAGACGATCTGGAGAAGGCGCTGCTTGGAGGGCCGTGGTTTATCCTAGAGCATTATCTCATGTTAGCAAGATGGAAGCCCAATTTCAGACCCTCATCTGAAAATTTTCAGAGCTTGTCAGTTTGGATTCGTTTTCCTGAGCTACCAGTTGAGTACTACGATAAGGAAGCCCTTTACAGTATTGCTTCTGTGGTGGGTAATCCGATTAAAGTCGATTACTCAACGAATAAAATCAGCAGATGTAGATATGCGAGGGTTTGCGTCGAAATCAACCTAAATAATCCATTAATATCGAAGGTGTGGGTCGGAAGAGCCTGACAGAAAATTGAGTATGAAAGAATTCATACATTATGCTTTAGATGCGGACGAATTGGCCATACTAGAGAAAGCTGCATTTGGAAGAAGCATATTGAACAGCAAACAAACGACCATCCTCAGACAGAAGGATATGGAGAAAAGAAACAGGGGAGAGATGCAGACAACACGCCTCAGAGCAGAGGAGCAGTAGATAAGCAGGCTACTGAGACAGGGACTAATAGGAATGTTGTCCAGCTCTATCGATCTCCATTCCCCCATCTCTGATCATGAACCAATTGTCGAACCAAGTCGATCACACAATCCCACCAACACCACCGAATTCACCTACCCAAACAATAGCTCCAACTATTCTGCCACCAATGCTGATAACCAGGCGGTGTGTTCCTTCTTTGCTATCCCGGGTCTCACCTCTATCTCGAGTTCAACACCTATTCCCGACCTTTCCTACACCAACAATCTGGCCCGTCCTAGCCGAAACCCCAATTCCCGTAGAAAAGCTAAACAATGTAAATCTAGGAATGAAACTCTTAATGAATCATCTAATTCCTCCATCTCAACCAGACTACGGAACAATTTTTCTACCAATGGCATCACCTTTAAAAAGCCCCCCGACCTTCCCGTTACAGCTAGCAAGTGTAAATTTAAACCTAATGCATCATCAAAACCTTCTAGTAGCCCTGGAAACCAAGAAGGGAGTGGTAGGTTTCGAACTAAGCCTCAACTTCCTGGCAACAGGGAACTTAGTTCCGGAGGTCAGATTGATGGCCAACCCACTGTCAATGGAGGACATATAGGCATTGGACAAGATGAAGTTATGGGAGGATTGGAAGAGGTTGCACCAGGCAGCAACGTCCAGTACTAACTGTTATCTTGGTGTTTTTCCGGATATTCATGTTAATTTTCCAACCATGAAAGTCATTATGTGGAATGTTAGAGGGGCCGTCAGTAGAGAGTTTGTGTCTCATGCTCGGGAAGTGATTAAAATACATAACCCGGAGGTCTTTATTGTGTTGGAGACCATGGCTAAGGATAGAGTTGCTCAACATGTTTATAGGGTGTTGGGATTCGATGATTGTAGAACAATTGAGGCCAACGGAATTAGGGGAGGAATGTGGCTGCTCTGGAAGAAACCAATTAATCTTTTGGAGTTTGCCATAGATTCCCCTAATGTCTTTCATTCCTTATTTAAGATCAGCCCAGACATTCCAGAATTTCTCCTGACTGGTATCCATGCTCCCTCATCAGTAAAAGATAAGGCGGCCTTATGGAAGGATTTGGAGGATAATGCTCCCCCTGCTTCGACACCTTGGTTAGTTCTCGGAGATATGAATGAGGTAGTTTCTCAAAATGAAAAAATGGGAGGTCGCCCGGTGACTAATGTTCAGGGAAAAAAGTTTCAGAAATGGATGGATTCTGCCAGGCTTATTGACTTAAAGTACAGTGGCCCTAGGTTCACTTGGGATAACTGTCGAGATGGTGTGAACTTGATTCGAGAGAGACTTGACAGAGCTCTTGCTAATGCTGAATGGCTAAAGGATCACCCTAATACTCAGGTATATCATCTTTCCAAAACTTATTCTGATCATTGCCCGATTCTAGTTGACACGGGTTCCTTAATTGCTATTGGTAATCATCCTTTTAGATGTAGAGAACAATGGATTCATAGTCCTAGTTTTAATAATTTTTTTAAGGAGTCGTGGGATAAGGGGAATAATAATTTTGTTAATGCTAAAACACATTTCGTTAGGGATGTTAAAGTTTGGAATAGGGATGTTTTCCACGCTAACTCTAATAACAAGAAAAGACTGATTGCCCGTATCCATGGCATACAAAAATACCTATGCAACCAATACTGTCCCTTTCTCTCTAATCTGGAAAAATCCTTGTTGCATGAGTTGAACAATGTGTTAAAATTAGAAAGGATTAATTGGGCTCAAAAATCCGGGGTTGACGGGAGAAAGTATGGTGACTGGAATACGAAATATTTTCATATTTTGGTAAAGGTTAAGAATAGTAGGGGAAAAATTGTGAGTTTAAAAAATGAGCAGGGTATTTGGATTGATAACCAACTTGCATTAAAGGATTTATGTGTTAATTACTTTAAAAATATCTTTACCTCAAAATAGTTGGCCCAACCTAGAAATGTTAATTTCTGCCCAAATGCTGTGGTTAAAAACGAAGACAAAATTTTTCTAGCAAGTGACATCGATGCATCGGAGGTTAAAAATGCCCTTTTTACAATGGCCTCTATGAAATGCCCCGGTCCAGATGGAATTCAACCCATTTTTTTCCAAAAATTTTGGGATGTGGTGGATGTTTCCATTACTAATTTGGTGTCTGACTGTTTTAGAGAAGGAAGAGTCCCTAGTGAAATAAATAATTCTTACATTTCCTTAATCCCTAAAACTGATCACCCTTCGACTATGAATGATTTTCGACCTATAGGCCTTTGTAACTCCATTTATAAAATTATTACTAAAGTTGTGGCTAATAGGATTAAACCGATCCTGGGTGATCTCATCAATCCTTTAATCAAGTTTTATTGAAGGGAGGACGATTGATGAGAACATCTTGGTCATTAAGGAAATCGCTCATATGTTTATTAAAAAGTCTAGCAAGAAACATATCATGGCTTTTAAGATTGACATTTCTAAGGCTTACGACAGTTTGGAATGGGGTTTTATTAGAGAGACCTTATTAGGTCTAGATTTTCCCGATAATCTGGTTAATCTCATTCTTAGCTGTATCACTACCCCGTCCATCTCCATTCTTTGGAATGGTCAAATCACGGAAAGTTTTACTCCTCCAGGGGTATTAGACAGGGTGATCCTCTCTCCTCATACATATTTGTTTTATGTCTTGAAAGGCTTTCTCTTATGATTGAGGAACAAGTGGGGAGGGGGAGTTGGAAGCCCATTAAAATAGGTGAGGATGTCAGTATCTCTCATTTATTCTATGCTGATGATGTTTTCCTGTTTGCAAAGGCTTCCATTGACAATGTAGAGGTTATCAAGAATACCCTTCTCGATTTTGGTTCTAAATCTGGCCTCTACATTAGTCAATCGAAGTCTAAGGTCATTTTTCCTCCAAAAATGAGTCTTTCTCTTAAATTAGCCATCCTTGATGCGTCTAATATTAAGGGGGCTCCTTCCTTTGGGAAATACTTGGGAGTCGAAATTAGTCCTAATAGGCTTAGGAAGGCTGATTACAATGATCTCTTAATTAAAACAAAAAATAGGATAAAAGGATGGCAAGCCAATCTCCTTAATATGGCTGGGAGGTGTACGCTAATCAAGTCGGTTCTTAATTCGTACCCTTTATATGTCATGCAAACCACCCTTCTTCCTATATCTATTGTTAATGATCTAGAGAAAAGTTGTAGAAGGTTTTTGTGGAACAAGGTGGATAGGTCTCATTATCTTCCTAGAACTATTTGGGAAAAAGTGTGTCTTCCGGTGGGATTGGGGGGTTTGGGTATGAGAAACCTTAGGCTTTGGAATTTGGCTTTTATGGCCAAACTTTCTTGGAAAATCATACACAATCCGACCAAGCTTTGGGTGAGAATTCTAAAGGCAAGATATTTCAAAAAGTCTTCTTTCTTAAATTGCTGTGACTCTCCCCTTTGGAAGGATATTATGAAGGGTAAGGAGCTGTTGTTAAGAGGAATTGCCTATAGGATTGGTAATGGGAGAGATGTTAGCCTTTGGTATCACCATTGGGTAGAGGACAAACCTCTTTATTGCCTCACTGACTCCCCCATTCCGGAAGCCATGGCCCATTGGAGTGTTAGTCACATTATCTAACGTTAATAGAATTAGAAAACATTCCCCTCCCAACTATTGTTGATTTGGAGGACTCTATTTGTTGGGGAAAGGAAACTAACGGCCAATTCTCAGTCCGTAGTGCCTACCGTCTTGCTTGAAATTTTACTAATCATCCTTCATTCCCTTCCATTAATTGGAAAACTATTTGGCATTTACCTGTTCCGTATAAGTATAAGATGTTAATGTGGAATATTGCTCATGAAATCCTACCGGTTACCACAGTTCTAGCTAAAAATGTTAATAACTTCAACCCTATATGCACTAGGTGTAACTTAGATAATGAAAATCATTTGCATTTGTTTAGGGATTGCATCAATTCTAGAGTTCTGTGGTCAAGAATTTTTGGAGGTAATAGATTGGATAAAAGTTTTAATTATCATACTTTCTTTAATGCAAGTTGGGTAAGTTGGATAAACTACAATTTGTCTCTAATTAGCACTAATTGGAAGTCCATATTCTCGGTCGCAATTTGGCACATTTGGAGGGCTAGAAATACTACAGTGTTTCAGTTAGCTATGCCTCACCCTATTTCCATGTTTAACAAATATATGGTTGATTTGGTTGCAATCATTAACACCTTTCAGGGAAAGCAAAAGAACCCAACCTTAGTGGCAGCTGCGTCCACCTGGAAAAGACCCCCACCGGGGTATGTCAAGATCAACACGGATGGAGCTTGGCGTGGAGAAGGCTCAGCAGGTGCGGGTAGCATCATTCGAGATGCAGATGGTTCATGGATGATGGGGAAAGCTTGGAAAACTAAGGCTCGAAACCCAACAGAGGCGGAGTTACTAGCCATTAAAGGAGGAATGCAAATGGCCATTGAGGCTTCCTTCGACAAGGTGGTCATCGAAACTGATGCTATTTCCCTTAAAAACACCATTGAAGACGCTGGGAAGTATGGTACAAGTGAGTTGGTTGCGATTCTCAGGGACATGGAAGCTATGCTATCCAAGGGCTGCCACTTTGAGTTCAATTATGTACCAAGGGGCGCAAATGGAGTAGCTCATCTTCTTGCTAAAACTGCTGTGGAAAAGGAGGCTATTGATGGTCTGGGAAAGCTGTTTGACAATCCCCCTGGTACCATTAGAGATGTATATGAAGGGGACATGCTTCGAAGTGTTGAATGATTAGTGTTTCAAGCCTGACCCGTAGTGTTCGAGGGTGCATTTCCTTTATTATTATGATTAGTGCTCTTCTTTGGTTGTTTTTCCCCCCTTAGGCAATGTGCCTAAGTTGTTATGGGATGTAGTATGTTGTTTCTGTTATCTAGCTGGAAGGCTAAACTATGGACCTCTTTTGTACTGCTTAATTTGATTTTTAATTAAATTTCCTTTTCCCCTAAAAAAAGAGTTTAATGAGTAATGTACTAATGTTATTTTATTTTATTTATTAATTTTTCTAATGTATTCTTGTACAAAGTGAGTTTTATAGTGACTAGGGTGGTCTACGCGGATGCGCGCAAAGGGGCTAGCTCTTGCAGATAGAGAAACTATATTGGCGTGTATTTACACCTTTGGTTAAGGTGGTAAAACTGGTAGTTTTAATATGTACTATATAGGTTATGTGCCTATGTGGCGGCTTTGTAGAAGTAAAAGAAAGCCACCATAATCCTTATCAATTTTTTTTTTTAAAACCATCAACATTTAACAGTGTTATTTCAAAATTATTATTAAATAATATTTAATTGATTTGCATTCCTTCATATCTTAAACAATTGTTAGTTCAAAACTCTTAATTAATTTGCATGTTTCAATAATATCTAGTGTGTTTTTCTTCAAATGAATTCTTTGTGAGTTTTGGTCAAATGGAGCAATAATATGTGAAATGTTCGTTGTAGCTAAAAACTTAATAATGTAAGTACTTTAATGTTCTACCACCATCAAACATCTATATCTATATTTAATACTAAAGCAATAATCAATTAGTTATATTTTTTCTCTTAAATTCTCTCCATAATTAATACCAATTTTTTTTTTTTGGTCAAATATCATTATTTAATATGAATTATGTGCACCATCAAACAATGTAAATTTCAAAAACTAATAAGGTTTAACAATAATTGTAATTAAAGGACGATAAGATTGTACGGAGTAAATAAGAAGAGCAATTACAAAGGAGTAAAAAAAACTATGAATTAATTGATGATATGTTTAATGATTAAAAAAACATTGATATATTAATGAGAGTACAAATATTAATGAGGGTAAAAAAATAAATACACATTTTTGTACACATTTGTGTATACTACTTATATTTTTGAGGGTATATTTACTATTTAGTAACACACTATTCCTTAGAGTAATTTTCTACTTTTTATATAAAAAAAAATTAAAAAATAAAAATAAAGGTAGGGATATATTAGTTTCCCCTTAAAAAAAAATGGCATAATTAATTATTACTTCTAAGATATTTGTTAAAATATCAATTATCAGTATATGAACCTTTTAAAAAAATATCTTGTATCATTATATAGATTAAAAGAGAAAATTTAAATTCATATAGTGATAGAGTATAAAATATATTCATGGGCCTCAACCATCGGCTTAAGCTTTTGGTTGAGTTAGTCCTCTAACATGATATCGGAGCCAGCGTGACATAAAGGTCACGGGTTCGAATCTCATCCACCCCCACTTTCAAGTGGAATATTAAGTGTTGGGTATGAGGAGGGCCCATGCTACATCCACACTTCTAACCCAAATGGGCTATCGTGTAAGGGGGTGAAATATATTCCCGGACCTCAACCATCAGCTTAGGGTTCGTTTGGCATTGCTGTGGTTTTCTGTTTTTTGGTTTTTTGTTGTATAAAAATATATGATATATGTCACATAATGAATAAAAAAATTATTTAAACTTATTAAAATCATAATAATTTTGAAAACTGACAACAAAAAAGTAGAAACACCTTTTTCTTGTTTCCTGTTTTTAGTTTTTAGTTTTCAAAAAAACAGGAAACTAAAAAACAAAAATGATACCAAACAAGCCCTTAACATATAGTTTCGTGATTTGGTTAATAAAATGTTAAAGAGATTTCTTTACATGCAGCATGCAACTGATGCAAGTATTAATATATCTCATAAAGAATGAATATACTCATTTTTCTAATGCAAGAATGAAGTTTGTTAGTTTTATGTTTATTCAAGACTCCTTATCATGCTTCCGTTTATACATTGTTTGTTGCAAAAAGTTCAGTGAAATGGTAAGTTAAGCATTGCAAGTTTGCAACCATTATTTCATTCACAATATATTTGCAAATCTCATGCTTGTGAGTCTAAGGGAAAAGGGCCCTTAGCTTGTTCAGATTTTAGTTTACTGTGCCCTATTAGAGGTTTTATTTTTTAAATAAGCTAATTTGGGTGTTTGGTAAATAATTTATCAAAAGAGATTTTTTGGGCTCAAAAATCTCTTTAAGAGCACTTGCAATGGGAGTACTCTATCCCCATTTTTCTTCAATTTGGGAGGATACTCCCATTGTGGGTAAAATGAGCTTATTATAAGAACTTTTTAAAATGAGCTTATTGAACAATTACCTTTTTGGCTATTAAATTAAATACACTAAAACAACTAACAAATATTTTAGTTTACTATGCCCTATTAGAGGTTTTACTTTTTTAAAAAGCTAATTTGGGTGTTTGGTAAATAACATAACAAAAGAGTTTTTTTGGGCTCAAAAACCTCTTTTAGAGCACTTGGGATTACTCTATCCCCATTTTTCTTCAATTTACCAAATATTTACCAAATATTTTAACACAATTAGCTATTTACCACCTTTCAAAAGAAAAAAAAAATATTTACCAAATATTTTAACACAATTAGCTATTTACAACTAACTAGTACAAACAACTTGTACAACCAAAAGTAGCGGATCCAGAAAAAATATATAACAGGGTTAAAATACATTTGATAAATTTTAATGGGGTCATTTAATAAAGGAAATTTTTGAAAATAACACCTTATCTTTTCAAAAAAATGGACTATAACACCACCTTTTTTCGTTTTTTTATTATAACACCATCTAATAAAATTAAATTAAGAAATCACCACCAGAAACAGTACTCCGTTATTGAAACTGTTAATGGGGCCCACTATAACGGATACTTTTTGGAAACCTTTATACATATCTTCGATTTTCTTCATTAACGTTCATATTTTTCAATTGGGAAAAAAATTAAACCCTTGAATCTTTTCAATTGCAGAAATTAATTAACCAAAACTGATCTTAGCACTACGAATTAACATTCCTTGAAGATATCTTGGCTGGGAGTGCTGAAATTAGGTATGCACACCGATTTTTAATAAGAGTAGAACTTTGATTTTGATTAATGGAAATCTGAAATGCTATTTGCAATTTAATCGTTGATATACTCGATTGAGCATGCAATGGATTTATAATTGGAGTTAAACTTGTTTGAATTGGACCCATATCATCCCAATTTTAAATTTAGGGTTCGTCCTATATCTAAATTGGGGGTTTTTTTTTATTTCGGGGACTGAGTCCTATTATATGTAATTCCATATTTAGTTCAGATCAATTGGATTTTAATGGAAGGTAATTTGTTGTAGGTGATGTCTTTCATGAGCTCATCTCCTTTGAAAGAGAAGAAGTGTCAATGTGGTGTTCCCTTATCAAAGCTGACAAGCTGGACAAGGGGGAATCCTGGAAGAAAATTCAGAACTTGCAAGTTTTATGATCCAGTGACTGAGAGTAGGGGTGTAAAGCCTTTGAATGGGCTGATCAACCTGATGGGACAACCTGGCAAACAAAGGTTATCAACAATTTGTTGCTTGATAAGAAGCTGTTAAAGGGTGAAGTTAGTGACTACAAAAGGGAAGTGGAAGATCTAAGTGGCCAAATGAGGTGCTTACTCAATGAGGTTGACAATTTGAAGCTAAAATGTAAGGCCCTCAACTCTGTCAGAAAGAGAATGAGCAAAGATGGTGAGGGCAGGGGATGCATGGATCAACAGTTTAAACTATGGCTTGTTGTTATTATTTGTATTGTTGTTGCAGCTGTAGTGTCTTTTATGTTTAAGTAGGTGTAGTATGAGTAGGTTACTAATGTATTCAGTAATATGCAATGGACATGGGATCACTGGTTGTTATGTATTGTAAATGAAGTGGGTTGAATCCACATTTGTTTTTAATGAATGGTAAAGTGTTTGCAATGTATGTTTGGAATGAATGAGAATGTTTCAAATAACATAAACAACTTTAATAAATCACCCAAAACAACAATTTGCACAAAAGTAGTTATATTGACCATTAAGCCAGAATATGCACAAAGTTTGGCAACAAAAGAGGCATTCAAAAGACTTAAATCAAGTTATTTGTTCAAAACTAACACCACAACCTACTGACTTAAACAAACTAACAATAAAGCACCTAAATTATTGTCTGCAGTCATACAAAATGAAGTTGATTACATATTAATCACTGAGTAAGATTAAGCTTGTTAGCATTTTGAAGCTTTCCCCTCCTGGTTTGTACTCCAACTTGGCTGGTGGTGGCTGTTTTGCTTGCAGTTGGCTGACTAGAAGAAGGCCGTGTTTGGGCTGCATCCTGGGATTGTTGTTGTGATACTGGAGCCTTCCTTTTGCTCTAAGGTTCCCATCCAGGCCTCTCTTGTGGAAATGTCCTGTTGCCAATGTTGTTTGGCCCAGCTCCAATGGCATTCTGTCATAGGTTTTTTTTTTTAAAAAAAGAGGTCATAACTGGCCTGCAGACATGTGCACATTTACATAAATCAGACAACATGTGCTAGCTAAAATGTATTACCTTCCTTACAGCTCTTTCCTCCTTCTTCTTCCTTTGATCCACTACCCAAGGTGAGTTTAAGGGAGGCCTGCCTGCTGCTTTTTGTTTAGATGGCTCAGGAACAGCTTCAGTTTTGCAAGTCTTTGCATAATGCCCAAACCCACCACATTTTCTGCATTGGTTCTTCCTATGCTTGGGCTTCTGTTGCTGGGCCCCTTTTGATGATCCTTCATCCTACTCCAACTTCCTTTTTTTCAGTTTAGGTCTTCCTGGTTGTATCTTAACAGCTGGTGGAAGTGGTTCTCTGACATTCACCCTGTCCCACTGCTTAGGACCTGGCATTGGCTGAATAGGGGGTTCATAAGCCTTCCTGTAGGTGTTCATGCTGTAGTATGGGTGCACAAACTGCTCAATATCAGATCTCTGGTCCATCACACATGCATAAGCATGAACACAAGGATAACCAGTAAGCTGCCAGTGGTAACAAGTGCAAGTTCCCTCACCCAAATCCACCACAACTTGATCATCATTCAGCTTCACTTCATAAGTGTCACCCCTGGATGCTTGAACAATACAGTTCCTAGAAACAAACTCCATTCTTTGAAATATTTTTCTCACATATGGGGTCAAGTTGCTAGTAATGATCTTAGCATCTTCCCATTTCTCATTATTCCTATTCATCATGTACCTCCTCATCCATTCCATTTGGGTGAGGATTGGTTTGTCTCTAGCATCTTTAATGACTGCATTAAAGGTCTCACACATGTTGTTAAGCAACATGTTTGACCTGCAGAGGGGTGTGAAGGCATGCCTACACCAATGTTGTGTGGGAATACTGTCCAAGTATTCATAGGCTTCTTCATTCAGTGCCTTTATGGACTCCATAGCAACCTCATACCCAAACTAATCACAACACAAAACTATACTAATTACCATACAATAATACAGAACCAAATAAGTTAAAAAATGTTCACAAGGACAGGGCAGAGTTACTTACATGGGTGGTTGATCTAGCAGCACTCCAGAATAAGTCTTTGTATACAGAACCAGTGAATCTGAGCTTGAAATTAGCCCAGATGTGTCTGACACAGAATCTTGTCTCAGCTGCAGGGACAACTGCATTCAAAGCTTCAACCAATCCCTATTAAAGGAACAAATGAAAAAAAAAAATTATATAGTTATCAACTCCAACTTAAATGTGACATGTAAATGTAATACATAAACATTCAACCAAAGACACACATACCTTCTGTCTATCTGACATGAAGGTGAATCCAGCTCCATCATCACTTCCTAGTAGCTCAATCAATGACTCTAAGAACCATTGCCATGTTTCTCTGTTCTCTATTTCCACAGTAGCCCAAGCTAAAGGATAAATGGAATTGTTCCCATCCTTAGAAACAACCACCAGAATTTGCCCTGGGTATGCACCCTTGAGGTGGCACCCATCCACCCCAATTATAGGCCTACAGCCTCTTAAAAATCCATCCTTTAATGGCCTGAGGAAAACAAACATCCTCATAAACAAAGGGGGCTGTGGATTACTAAGAGAATCAACCACCACATTACAACCTGACCCAGGATTATGCTTTATCACAGCCCTAGCATAATCCCACACCCTAGCATATTGTTCACTTGCTGAACCATATATTATGAGCTTAGCTCTACACCTTGCCATCCAAGCTCTATAATAACTGACCTGAATTCCAAAATCATTGAGAACCCTATCCCTTAACTGCTTAACCTTCCATCCAGGATTACTCCTAAAGTCCTCAAGATACATGTCTGCAATCCACTCTGAAGTCACCTTACAGTTGTCCTTTCTCCTCATACAGTTATGCTCTAATCTCAGACTTCTAATTTGCCAAGTTTCTTGCCTAAGCATATTCCTAGCATACACCTTGAAATTGCACCTAACTCCACCTACACATGTACAAAGGGGCATCCTACTTGTCTTTGCACTAAACTGACAGCCACATCTATTCCTACATTGAATAGTGATCCTAGTGCTGTCATTATGTAAGAAGTAGAATTCATACCTGTTTTCAATGGCATGCAATCTTAAAGCTTTCCTCAACACAGTAGCATCCTTGAACTTCAAGTTTGGAACCAGTTTTACAGTCTTGGTGAAGTCAACCTTATCATTAAATACAGGGCTGTGGTCCTCTTCATCAGATGAACCACCTAAACTTCTTAACTCATCAGAATCTCCTTCATCTTCTACTTCAATCTGAACCTCAGCAACATCCAAGTTCTCACTAAGGCCCCCACCTTCTTTCTGTAAACCCTTTCTTAGTTTCTTGTCAACCTCCTCAAGAATCACCCCCACTGCTCATCACCATCATCATACTCCTCTTCAGTTGGTTCCCAATTTATGTCAACATCACTACAATCATCACTTGAAAACTCCTCACTCCCAGATATGTCATCATCACTATCACTCTCAAACAACAATTCTTTCCCAACTAGCTTCCCTTTCCCCTTATCCTTATCCTTCCCACTACCAGAAGCTCCAGACAGCCCTTTGCAAGTATCTACTTTCCCTTTTCCTTTGTTCTTTGTGGGAGGCAATATAGATCTAGGTTTGGGCGAGCTCTGTTCCCTTTGACTTTCCTATACATCAGTCTTATGTACTCTAGGGCTTCTCCTAAGCTGCAAACTCTTACATGCACTCTTCCCCTTTGGTACTACAGCCTTCTTTGGAGTGTGTTGGGCCTCAACAATATTGGGCCTCACTGATTCATCTGAAGACACAAACACTTCAACATAGCCTTGCCCATTAACTGTTTGTAAAAGTCCCCTAATCTCATCTTCATTGACTATTTCCCTTTTCCCAGTATTGAAGGTTTTTCCATTTTCCCTATACCAACAGCTGTAAAGAGTAGGCACATTGACACTAAAGTTGACAAAACCATGAATTGCAGCTTCCCTAATGTAAGACACATCAAGCTTATTAACTTTCACACCCCTCCTCCAATAACATAACCCACCACAGTAGACAATTAAACTCTTTTTTTTGTGCACTCTCTTGGGAACAAAAACACCCCCCACTCTAAAAACAATATCAACCACACCATCTGTTGTGGCCATTATCTAGACAATAAAGAAATGCAAAAACAGTCAACACAACTACCAAAAGGGAAGATAAGTTAACATATTATATCCCTGTTGCACAACCACAAAGCAAGCACTAATTCCAACATAATTAACAATTCAGATTTACATCAATTTTCAATTAAAGTAAAGTACAGATAACTTTGCAACAAACTAATGATTTCAATTACACAAAAATCACACAATTAAGTTCAATGAAACACTACATAAACAAAATTACCCAATTAAACCCTAATTACCCATAATTCATAGTAATTCAAACAAAAGTTTGACTATTTTATAGTCAGCGACATTTTTCCCCAAATTAGCCCTAATCTGAACATCAATATTGCAAAATTGACACCAAAAGTAAATTCAAAGTAAAATACAAGTTTCATGTGGTACCTCTTTCAGATTCTTCTTCCTGTCGCTGTCAGAAACCAAGAAAAGTACAAGCTTTATGTAGGTCGAAAATGGCTGACGAATATGGCTGAGTTGTTTCGCTCAAACACTGACACCTCTCCTTGCAATTCACTCTCCCAACTACACAAATTATCCTAGGGTTTGATTCTGATTTGCAATTTTGGTGGTTGAATCTTTATCACTGAGAAATTAATGAGGGAGTAGTTGAGTAATAAATGAGGGAGAGTGAGTAATGAAACAGGGAGAGAGAAAATCGAATTCAAGAACTCAAAAATTTGGAGGGTAAGTTAACCCGTGGGACCCACACACAGTTTCCGTCACAGAATCCGTTTTCTGGTGGTGATTTCTTAATTTAATTTTATTAGATGGTGTTATAATAAAAAAACAAAAAAAGGTGGTGTTATAGTCCATTTTTTTGAAAAGATAAGGTGTTATTTTCAAAAGTTTCCTTTAATAAAAATACAAGTAATTTTTATAAGTAAAAGTTTAATTTCATACAGTAGATTTTTTTTTCTTTTTTCATGCTCAAGTAGGATTAAGAGACATTTACTCAATTACATGTGTATCCGCTACTTACAACCAACTAATTACCTAACAGGACGGTCGGGACCTTAGTCTTTGACTCTTTGGTCATATGTTCAAATCCAATAGTTATACTCTTGGTCTCATATTCAAGTCCCATAGCCATTTTGATATAAGTGAAGAAAATGATAAAATCCAATGGTTGCAATTGTTATGAAACAAGAGAAGTCCATAACATAAGTCCAAGTTCCGAGAGTAGAGTAAGCTGACCCGCCAATTTTAAACACTTGTACCAGTGTACGTGTATTCGTATTTGCCACCAAAAAATATCTACTACCACACTTGTGATTTTGTGAACTAAATAAAAAAAAATCATCACTTCTTTCATTTTTATTTAATATTAATAATAATATCTCCGGGAATTTCACCGGAAAATCATGGCCGGAGCTTTGAATTTCACTCCAATTCCTATTTTCCGGCCGAATTCCGGCCGGAAAATGCCGATAAACTCATTTCGAATTAGGGCTTCGACGGAAATCTCAGAATCGACAGTAGATTCGAGCTCTCAAGGTGGTTTAAATGCCGGAGCTTCGACATCAAACCCTAATTTTTCGGCGCCGCCGAATTTTAAGCCGCCGGAGCCGAAGCGGTTCGGTATTAGACCGGATAAGACTCTCGATATTCTTGGCGCTTCTCTCTCTCTCATCTTTCGATTGGGTACCGGCGTTTTTGCTGATGGGTAAACTCTAATTTTCTTCTTAATTACTGTTTATTGGTAATTTCTGAGGTAATTGGATGATTATAGTATCAATTAGATGATGATATTAGAGTGGTTTTGTTAATTATTGTTGAATGCATAGAAGTTTATTTTAAGAAATTTGCAGTTTTGTATTTTGAATGGATTATTTGATAAATGATTAAATGATAATATATGCAATAATAATTCCTGAAGTATATTTTTGTGTTATGAATGGATTATTTGATTTGATTATGCATGCAGAAGTATTTTGGCAATTTTTGTATTTTGAATTGATTATTTAAATCGAAGATTTTGTATCATTGTATATATAGTCGATGGTAGGTAAGTAGAACTTGAAAATCTAACGATGTCCAACAAACAATGTTTAATACTCCATACTTAGTAACAATTGAAAACTTTTCAAAGTTGCGATTTCCTAAGAAATGTAACAATGTTCAACTAAACTTGCTTTGACTTCTTGTGATGCCAATTTGGAGTTAGTTACATAGCTTGGAGCTAATACACTAACAAAGCATCTTTTTCTATTTTTTTCTTGTCTGCGAATCATAAGCCACTAAAATTACGTTTTGAAGTAGCACAATTAATGCATAGTGAGAAATTTGTTTTGGAGGTTGGACTTGGGACATTCCTTCTAAAACATCTCAAAAAGGAAAGGAAAACAAGGGACATTCCTTCTTGGAGGAAGTATGTTTCCCTGTAAAACTAGTTTGTCAGTGACTCAATGCTAGCGTGAAATTGCTTGTTGCATTATGTGTCTTGACATTAATAAGTAACCTAGGCTTCCTTTATATCGGTGGTTAAGTACAGAAAACCTGAAGTGGGAACCTGATGAACTATTTATCCAATGTAATTATCCGGTTCCTTACCTGCATCTATCTAAATTAGGTTCCCTCTTATATACCTCTTGAAAATATTTTCTGCTTGTTGCAAGGGAATGCAGTTTGATGTTTTATATAATTAAGCTCCTTTACTATGTGCCTACAGCTGTCTATTTTTCAAATGTCTGCTGCAATAAATTTCATTTTGACTAATTTCTTGATCAGAATGGCTGACCTTGGCTTGTACAGTGGTTCCAATATATGATTTACTTTTATTACTCCTTAACAGGTATTCTGTTTCCCTTGTTTCAAAGGATGAAATCCCATCCGACCAATATGCTCTGGAAATTGCTGGTAATATGTTTGTTCAACTCCCTCATTGTGTAAGGTTTGCTTTCCATAAGACTTTACGAGGCCGTTCTCTTTTCTCAATGTCCTTGGATGTGTGTTCCTCTCTTTGGAGGTTGGGGGTTCTTGAATGTTCTATAAGTTTCCCACTATAATATATTTATAAAAAAGTTTTGATATTTTGAATCAAAGAAGCTCTATTAAGGAAAATGCAAGGATGTTTGCAGATTTTTTCAATTACCTTAACCTGTTCCACAGTTCAATGAGATAATTTTTTGTAAAAACAAATTTAAAATCCCGGATTTTAGTGCAAGATAATGATTTGGTTGAGATTCTTGAAAGCTAAGGATTAGAAGTTTAGAACAACTATTTTCAAGCAGCACACCAGTTGCTTGCTAGCTTGGACTTTTTGAGCTAGCTTGGACTTTTTGTTCTTTTTCCTGGATCAATATCTTTACTATCAGCCTTGCATAGATCAACCTGTTAGAAAGTTTCTCCGCTAAAATTCTTGTTGTGTTCAAAATGTAAACTTAATCAGGTCACTTAATAAGTTAGCTTCTCATTTGCTTGAATTGGTTAGAATTCGGAACTCTTCTTGTGAATAAATTAGTTTTACATTTCTTAACTTCCTCTTGGTAATTTTGGAAAGAATATGAACTATATCTGATGCTCTTGTTTTTGTGTACATTTGTCTTTCAACAAAGGTGCTTTAGATTCTTACAATGTAGATTGGTTAAGAAAGTGATGTTTGTATAAATGTATTTGTGTTAACTTTGTCAGCTGAAGATGTAAAACTGTTTTTTTTATATAAATTTTATGTGATAATTCTGCTCCCCACTCTTTGTAATAGTTCCTTTCTGGATGAAATGACTGTTTATACTTTATATTTTGAAATTTAGTGTGTGATTAACATATATACTGCTTATTCTTCTTCAATTTTATTTGATTAAGGTTTCAAGTTGAAGGAGAGCTCAAAATTAGGACCACGTCCTGAAAACCCTATTGAGATATATGAGTTTGAAAGGTATTGAAACTGAACTGCATTTCATCCCATCTCTGAGTATTGGTGTTTGAAGAGCAATGGGCAGCTTGTGGCATCTTCATCTTTAGCATAGCCTTTTACAGCTTATTGGCAATTTAACTAATTACTTTGCTTCTTTGGCATCACCATACGTGGCCTGCAACACACTGAGTACATCAGTTGTCCCTTCTGTCGAAAGGTACTGATGATTCATTATTTCATTCACATTATCACAATATATGTGGAGCTTGACTGATGATAATTTTCTCCAGCATGTAATTTGCATACCTTTCCTGGTATTGTCCATGTAGCTGATCTTCTAATGTGTATACAGGTCAGGGAAATTGTAGCAGTGTTGGATCTTGATGTTTTATACTATCCTTGCCCTAGAAATGGGCCAAACTTCCGTCCGAAAGCAGTTCAGTTGGGTGGAAAGAAGATGTTTCCTTACATGGTATGACAATATACCCATCAAATCTGATGCCATGTTATTCTAACTGAAAACCATTTTTTGCTTTAGAAATCCTTTCCCACTTATGTGATTTCACCATTAATGTGGCAACTCTGGCAAATTCAATTGTTTTGTTCGTAATCAGGTTAATTTTAGGTCATGTAAATGGAAGAGATGTAATAATTTTTGCACCCTTAGAAATCGAATTCCTCCAAAAAGATAGGGACAACAGTCCTCTGCTGTATCTGAGAAATTAAGCCTTGAAACCCTTTGTTTTTGCATTTTCTATATGGTGAAGTAACCTTATAGTTATGTATCAGATAAAATTTTAAGATTTCCAATAAAAAACCTTACCATAAGAACACCTTTATCACCATGGCTTCACCATTACTACTGAACTGAGAGTCGGCCACTAAATAGTTCCACAAGCCCCTCCATGAGAACTAGCCACCAGAAAACCTTTTGATCCAATTAAGAAAGGGAAAGAAAACAAATCACCATAATCCGACGAAGAAAGGGAAAGAAAACAAATCACCATAAGAGCTGAACGATGGAGAGTATATGGTGGTCTAATCTGACCACAATAGTTATATATTAGAAATTTATGCCAAAATTGACCGTCAAAGACATATATTTGGGGATGTTAGTGGCAGTGGTGGCTGTTGGATAGGGGCCTATTTCTGTTGTTGGTGGCTGGTTGTGGAGGTGATGGTGGAGGCTTTTGTTGCAGTGGTGGCTGTTGGGTGATGGGAAGGGGCCACTTCACCACTAAACAGGCTTTATCCATTTTCAGACTATTGTTTTCTGACTTTCTCTAGAACATACATCATGTCTATGAGGTCATTCGGTAGTATTTAATATGTTATTGGCCTACTGCTATAATTTGCTAAGGCATAAGGATGCGGTGTAGGATTTTCCTTTCTTTAAATCTATATGAGCATATGGTCTTCCCCTCTCCCAAGTTAGTGATCGACAGCTTGAGGCTACCACTCTCCAAATACCACTCCAAGGTAGTGACTTTAGGTCACAGCTCTCCAACATGATTGTACTCACAAAATGCCTTCCTAATCCTTTCTCATCTTTCTCTATATATGTAAACGGCTTCAACCCCTAGGATGATTCTAGAATGAGCTTTTTTCTCATATTCAAAGACGGCAGCTCTCTCTCTCCATTTATACTAAATCTGATGACTATTAACAGAATAATATTAGACTACTTGTAATGCCCCTCCTTTGGTCAGTTCATTACAATTATGTGCATTTGTTTTGATGACAAGTCTTTCCAGAACCACCAACTTTATAGGTTGGCCCAAGTGTTTGGTTTAGTATTATCAGTACAACTTCTCATTTCTTAGAATCTGTCCTATTGATCCAGTCTCTTAGTGTCTGGTTTTGGGACTGGTTTACCTCTCCTCTCCTTGACATTATGTTAAGATTTTTTTTTTATACATGTTTGAATAAAAGAAATTAAAACCAGTCATTGATTATGTGATTGCAGGTGGATCCTAACACTGGAGTGTCTATGTATGAATCAGATGATATTATTAAGTATTTGGTCAACAAATATGGTTCGTCACCTTCTCCTCATTATGTCCAAATTTCTTGATTTCATTTGCCTTGGTTGCATGCCAAGCCCATTGCTTAATTCTGCCATTTCTTCTCTTACATATGGCTCTACATTGTTTTCTTTGTTTCTGACCCATAAAGTTTGGTAATTTAACTTCTTTTACATCGACTCTTCCTGCCCTTTCTTGCTTTGCTTTCCAATTGAGCTGTACATGTTGGTTATCAGGGGTTCTTCATGTTTGAGAAGTGGTAAGCTGGGGATGCGCTTGTATTTTAACCAAAATGCTTTATCTTCCTTAAATGATATAAACCTACACATTTACTCATAGAAGAACAGGTTTGTAGTTAATCTGTTGATGGAAAATTGATATAACTGAGATTAACATAAGAAAATAATTTGGCTCAAATCTCTGCTTGTTTGGCCAATGACGATTTTGTCATCCTTATTTATCTATTTATTTATTTATTGATAGTATTTGTAAAATTATGTAGATATTCATGCTAGGTGATAGCTAAAGAATTGAATAAGGTATTAGGTAACCTTTAGTTCAAGTTACACTCTTAAGCCATAATGCTTTCTTGTTTAATTTTTCAATTGTTTTGGTGTTTTGTGTTATATCTTACTGTAATTTTTGTGCTAGGAAACCAAGAGTGTTACAAGTTACAATATTGAAGTACCTTTAGAATCTTTTCGAAAACCATCCTATCAAACATTTTGAAATGATTTAATAAACAACCTGAACAACAGTGAATCAAAGGATTTATGGCATGATAATTAGGTAATAAATAGCAGAGTTAGCTTAAAATTTGCTGAAAGTCAATTCTGATTTGTATTTTTACTTTAATCTCTTAAGATTTATTTATTTATCTTCAATATATAAAAGAGCCCCTATGTGGTGATAGGTGTAAAACTATATGTAGATGACCATTGATGCTATGAAGCTTTATTTAAGGTGTTTTGATCTGAATTTTGTAAAGTGTGGTCTTATATATTGTGCATTTGATCTTTTTTTTCCCCTAATCTTGCCTAGAATTTTGACATGATTAAATATAAAGTAATAAGACTAAGGTGAAGAGAACAAAACTTTAGTCTTGTTCTTAGATTTTCTATATTTACAGTAATTCAATCAGTTCATAATGTTTATTGAGAAGTCACATGCATCATGCTATGCAGTCTTTTCATTCCTAAAAGCCTTTGATATATGCAGCCTTTTCCTGAAAAAACGAAGAACCTTTTATTTCCAACTTAGCCTTTGATTTGAAACACAAGAAAGAAATAGTAGATATCTAATGAATAATTTACCCATCTTAATAGCTCATTAAGCTGCACTTTTGTGAAGTAGCATTTGGCTATTGACTTCTGATTACTAGGAAATAAGAAGCAATCTATTTGTCATAGCAAATAAGATTACATATACATGACCTCTATCCTGCCGACTGTTTTGATAATGTTGAGGTTATACTTGTCTTCTATTGAACAACAGTTAAATATAGGATTCCTATCCTAACTTCTTGTTTACCTTTCCATTTTTTTTTTTTTAAAAAAGTTATGTATAGGATGCTTATGTGCTGGACTAACATACTACTATCTTAATGACGCCAAGTTTTTTCTTATGTTGGTTCCAGAGTTTCCAAACCCTTTTCAATGTAGAGACTAGTGTTTTATACTAAAAAGTTTAACGAAGTAAAGAAAGCGCTCGAACATTGGAGTGAATTATGGATATAGACTACCAACCCTTGGTCTCCTTTTTTTAGTTACCCCTCAAACAAAAGTTCTATCTGCTTAAACTTTAATATTTAATTTGGTTATTAGAGAAGCAATTAACCCCTAACCTTTATAAATTACTAATTTGCCTCCAATGAAAACTCCTAGCTTGCAATTATTATTTGGTAAATGTTAATCTAAACCTACTTTTCCCCCCTGTACCTCTTACTTATTATTATTATTTTTTTTTATTTCCCTTTTAGTTATTATATTTATCCCAAAAATTTCTAGTCTATTGAAGTTTCTATTGTCTGGTTAATAGGGGGGAAAAAAGCATTTTATGTGATACAAACAAGTTTCAGGCTTGCAGAGTTGCAGCCACATATTAGTAAAATTAAGTCGATTGCACTTTAGATAAGGTCTAACATCCTGAATTTCCTAGATAAAATATCTCCTCTGTGAATGTGCAATCTAAAATATATTGTAACTTATCTATACTTCTCTGGAGGTCCTGTATACTTTTATGACTTTGAGGTCCTTTATGCAGGTAATGGTCAAGTCCCTCTTTTGTTGTCGCTAGGCCTACTTACGGTTAGTATTTCAATTGCTTTAAATGTAGTTATTGAAACACTAATAAACAACTAATTCAACTTTTTTGGCTTATTTAGACCTTAACTGAAGGATTTGCGATGATTGGGCGCATGGGTAGAGTAAGTTGCACTTGGCTAACATTTTCTGATTGCAAAATATCATTTGGTAGCTGATACCAGTAACTGACATTTGTTCTTCTGCCTTTCCAATTTCCTTTTTCCAGGGATCATCTTATACTCCAGCAAAAATGCCACCCAAGCCACTTGTCTTGTGGGCATATGAGGTATTACTTTTCAACTTTAACACTATCTCTGTTTTGTTATTATTTTTAATAATTGCAGCATGTCCCCTTGGCACACATGTTAAGGGAGCGACTAGAGAATTTAATAAACAAGTTAGCTATAATACTTAATCACCAATAATTTAACATGTCCCTCTTATCGGTTTTGAAGTTAATTTAGCTAATTTGTCCTTCTACCTTCTCTAATCTTTTCCTTGAAATGTGTCCCTAAGGGACCTGTTGTAAACTTGCAATTGTTAAAAAAAAAAAAAAAAAAAAAAGAAAAAAAGAAAAGAAAAGAAAAAGAAAAAGAAAAAGAAAGAAAATCAAAATAGTAATAAAAAAAAGGCTCGTTGTACCCATCTTTTTTTTTTTTTTTAAAGAGTCGAGGGGAGGGAAAGGGTATAGGAAGACAAATTATACTTCTTGTATTGCCTATATTTAAACATCAATTTTATGGAATTTAATTTACTTCAGGGTTCTCCCTTCTGTAAAGTTGCTCGTGAGGTGCTTGTGGAGTTGGAGTTGCCACACATTCAACGCAGGTACTGTGTGGAAAGTTTCTATATAGCTAATTTGTTTGTTCATATTGTACTGAACGAAGTTGCAATGTTTTTTCTCTTTGCACAACACTAATGGTGAATAAGTATTTGTCTAATTTATCATAATCCTTCCATGCTATGTTGCTAAATTTTCTTCTCAGGATGTCCTGACATTGTTGTTTAGTTTTTATTACTGTACGCCCTAAAGTATTTAATACCTTCAAAATTTTAGAACGTGATTGGATGAAAGTAAGATGGTAGGTAAGTAAGTTGAAGTTAATTTTTTTTAGAACCTGATATTGAATGTACAGAGTAACAATGTAGTGAAGCAATAATTCTTTTCCGACATTGAAGGTCTGAATTTTTATATTCCATGTCGAAGAAAGCAAGCGTCGAGCATAATTTATGAAAATAAATATTGATATTGAAAGTCATGGAATTTTTGTTTTTGAGAAAATCCTAATTCATACGATATCAACATTTATGTTTTCTTATCATAGTTGAATATTAGGACATGTAAACCTTCATCAATATTTCTAAATATGATTTAATACTTTTTTTTCAGCTGCGCTCGTGGCAGCCCCAAAAGACAGGATCTGTATGCAAGAGTTGGTCATTTTCAGGTAAATTCCTTTTTGAATTAATAAGCAACTTGTCCCTTATGTAGCATTCGATGATGCAGTAAGCTCTAACATTATCGTCAATGTTTCAATAACGTCTTGTTAGGTGCCTTATTTAGAAGATCCAAATACCGGAGTGCAAATGTTCGAGAGTGCTGAAATAGTAGATTACTTAAAAGCAACATATGCTCTTTAGTAGCAGATATTCTCAGGCGAAAGAAGGTTTTCTTCATCTTGTAGATAACTAAATGTGCTTGATATACAATTGTTCTTCTTTCTACATGAAGGCCATTCGTGATGTGTACATTTAAATCTAGTCAGAAATATATTCTCAACATTGTCCTCATTGTCAGTCCATAAATTGACTGAAAGATTCTATTCATGTTCATTAAATCTCAGTTGTGGCATTATGTCTTTCAAATGGTAACTTTTTTCATTTAATTACCCCAATATATCTTTTGATCACTAATAATGGTAATAATTTTGTACCTCTTCTTGTGTTTGGTAAATTTGGTTTTCTTCTAGGACAGTACTTATTTATTTTTGGGTGGTTAAGGAGAAGGTTCTACCGGCTAGAATCCTAGCTGGGTTAGCTTGCTAGGTGCCTTGGGAGAGGGGGAGGGTAAGGAAACTCTTACCCCCAAAAAGTGTTCTGGTGGGGTTTGAATTTATAACCACATGGTTAAGATACAAAGCTTTTCACTAAGCCAAGTTGTGCTTGTTCTAGGATTAGTGTGGGTCTCAAGAAAACACTTCTACACTGTTTTGTGACGTCTCTTCATTTATTTAGCCTGTATGTATAGAAGAAAAGTGGTTGGTCATAGGCTCCAGCGCGGCAGTGCCGCTGTTATTCTGTTTTAGGTTACTGGGATAATGAACGCAGTCAAACAGTAGAACGACTTGTTTGGAGTTTCCTGTCTCTTTAACCCAACTGGATTGCCTGCTGCATGAGATCCCATCCAAATCGAGTGATTACAAAGATTGTTCATAGACTTTCACCATGTCATCAGCTGTCTAAGTGAACGAGGGTTACCTAGAAACCTCTAAAATAATGTGTAATTGTTCCGTATAGTTAATGCTTTCTAAAAAGCACGCATATGCTCTATCCTCTCAAAGAAACTATTACCCAGGTGATGCTTGTGTTTCTAGGCAAGCACGACACTCAGTGTACTGGGTCAGTGGCATAACTTGTGTGAAACAACAATCTTGTAGGTGTCGCAGGTTCTACTGGAGCACAGGTTATTTTATCTGATGAGGAGTTCAGCCATTGAGGACTCTAAGAAGGCTAAGGCAATGTTATACAATGTTTCAAATCCTTCCCCAAATCTCAAACAAAATCAACAAAAAGAATGAAAAGGTGACAGGGGACTGTAACAGAGAAGAATTTCAATCTTATAGAAAGTTAAGCAGCAACAGTCTTTGTACTAGGGCAACATGATTCTTAATCTTGATCCACACTTGAAGAATATTTCGATTTTATGGTTCGATGAAGGGAATGTATGTTCATCTTTGGTAGACAATTATTATCTGCTCTAAACATCCGATATTATGATGTTAACCTAGAACCTAAGGCTATTTCAGTCTGTTTCTCCCTGCCTTTTATAATTCTTCCTACTTTTCATTTTTCATTCTTTATCTCTCCCAATATGTGCAAATCCAAGGTCACAAAATATTGAACTGGAATGAACCAAGATCATGTTTAGTTAGTTCTTCACATGAGAAATCATGTAATTGGCTTGTAGCATGCAGCGATAGCTTGGACCAAAAGGATCAGATTCCATGTCGCATGGCTCTAGAAACCGAAACAATCGCGATGCTTCGAGGTGAAGAAGATATCATTTAGATGTGGTGATAGAATTATTAAGCTGCCTTTTCTTCTACTTGTGATATCATTAACAAACAGAAAATTCCAGAGTAGTTGTTCCTTTCACAGCATGGCACCACCATTATCTTGCTCAATGTTCAGAGTGCAACTGTTTTATTGTGACCACTAACAGTGCACTGTGCACTCAAAGTGTGTTAGGAAATGCTTGCATGCCTTCCAATATGTATGTGGGAGGTTTTATTTATTTGTTTGACTTATAAATTGCTACCTAGGACTTTTTATTTCATCCTTACATGGTGGCTTATATTATATTATGACATTTTTTTTTCTTTAATTTTGGACCAAATAATATGTTGATTTTGGGTCGTATAATCTTTACATGTCATGCTTCTAAATTCTAGTGATTGTGATCCCTTTCTTGGTTAAAGAAATGAGTAAAACAGTCAACCCACAATTTGAGCTTACGTCTCAATAGTAGATGTGTGGCTCATTTCAACTTACTCCCTCTGTTTCAAATTAACTGTTACATTTTTTGTTTTTGGGCGTATCAATAGTTTTGACATATGTGTAATTAGAATCGAACATATATATAGTGTCACCATTAATACAAACAACTAGTGTTTAATAAGCCTAACTAGTGTTTAATCGCATCGACTTCAAGACAAGGACAGACATAATAAGATACGTTGCTCTTTAGTAGACTCTTAGATTTTACTATATTGGCATCAAATTTTGGTTGCGTTGCTCTTAAGTAGACGCTTTACTTCAATTACCATTATTAATGACTATTATAGCAACAAAAATTAAGATACTTTAACTGTGGAACAATAATAATCCTGTTAATGGCATATCTCATCTCTAATTAAATTTACAGGAACTTCCTATTGTTAATGGACCTTTTGGCCCACCAAGTTACATCTAATTAAGCAAAACATATATTTTTACATCATATAATAGTGTTTTTTTTTTTTTTTTTTTTTTTGAGGAATTTAAGGTGAAGAATTGCTATATATAACCACCAGAATTTCCCCATCATTGAGTGTAAATGCAATGAGCTAAATAAAACAAGAGGAAGAGAAAATCAGAAAAGCTTAGCCATTTATTCCTTGGTATCACAAATCTAAGTGTGGTAAACTCTGCAGGTAGAACAATATACAATTCTAGAGAGTTTTTTCTGTTTGTGATTCAGAAATAAACTAGCAAAGGGCAAGAAAATACAATGATTTCGTCTTTTCCTGCCCTTCTCTTGTTTTGTGCTTCCTTCATGTTCATTGGTGTCTTTGCCTCAGGTACTCTATTTCTCTAATGTCTCTTAGTGTACGTTTTAACTAGTTAAGGCATAACCGGCTAAGGATAATGTTGTGTACATCAGGACATTCTTTACCATGATTAATATTATGTCTTTGTTGTTTCCGTTGTAGAAAATTAAACTCTTTCACTTGATCGTTTTGAGATTATAATGTTTGGTTTATGCTGTTTAAGCTATTGAAATTGACCTTATCTTACAAAGTTAAAAATGATCAAAGCATAGATGATTACAGTCCCTTATAATATTTTTCTTTTGTTACATGAATCAGAGGATCTTCCTCTGTATAATTATTCAGAAGTAGATAAATGGGGAAGCAAGCACCCGAACTATACAGCTTGCTCTACCGGCAAGAGGCAATCCCCTATCGATATCAACACCAACGACGTTGTCATCAACAAAAACATGAAACCTTTGACTAGAGACTACCACATTTACAATGCTTCATTGTCTACTGATGGCATTGAAGTTGAGGTTATTTTCCTACTAAAGCCCTTGTTACATATAAAATGTTTGCGCATTAATTCTGAATAAGGAATTCCTATGAACGGTATGTAATCATTCAGGTTGTATTTACTGGTCGAGGAGATTTGATGTTTGATGGAGAAACATACAAGTTGAAGCAGATGCATTGGCATACTCCTTCAGAGCATCACCTTAATGGTGTCCAGTAAGCTAAATTCTTCTTCAGTCCTTTAGATTTCAAGACTTGATTACGAGGGATTGGGACATTGTTATTGTGATTAGTAATTTTAGATATAATTATTTTCATTAATGAAATTGTTCTGTTTGAATATTTGTATGTGCATTACAAAGATACGCGGCAGAGCTACACCAGGTATATGTAGCTGCTGATGGCAGCCGGTCTGTTGTAGGGATCCTTTACGAGTATGGCAAACCTGATCCTGTTCTTACCATGGTATGTTTGTAGGGTTATATTTATGTACTGTACTTATTAAACTTCATTTGAAGGGTGTCACGAGCTAGGAAAACATAGATGCATTTTCGCAGATACAAATCATACAATAATATAATGAATATGAATACAGATCATTTAAAAAGAGCATAGTGAAATGGAAATTTCAACATGTATGATAAGCAATGGGCTATAATTTATTTAAGTCTCAATATAATCAAGCTTAATATGCTACTTTTAGGGGAGGATTTGGTTTGTTACCTAGTGTACACGGATTTTAAATCAGGGGAAATTTTACATGGTGGTATGGGTCTGGAACTTGATTATATGCGGCGTACAAAATCCATTTATTGTGTGTACGTGTTTGTTTGATCTCGATGGATTTCAGCTAAAACCCCAGTTGGATGAATTAGCTAAAGAACCATGTCAAGATTCTTGAGAAGGAGGCCTCGCAAATATTACAGATATCCTGGCTCTCTCACTACCCCTCCTTGTGATGAGAATGTCACTTGGAATGTTCTTACCAAGGTATGTACTGTATATTGTACAACAATAATTACTTCCTTCATTCCTTTTTGTTTTTTTACGTATTCTACTTTACGTGTTTTCCTTTGTAACTCACGTATGCTTTTATAGAAAACATAATGCAATATATTTTGTTATATTTTCCAAGACAACAATTTGATTAAACTAATCAAAAAATTAAGTTTACACATTGTTAAACTGAGTACAATGATGAGGAGATGATAGACAACACTTTTTTTTTTTTTTTTTATTTGACAAGGATGATAGACAATACTTAACTACGTACATATTGTTTTTGTGAAACATGTCAAATTTATAATTATGAGAAGTCAAGACAATGTGATAACTAAAGCTTGACATAACAAGTAACGAATGAGAATAGTTGATGACAAACTCAATGCACACAATAAGAATGGCTACGTACATGCTATTGAATACATATGTGATAAATGGCTTATACATTCCTCCTTTTAATTTGGTTGTTGATTTAAATTTTAGGTGAAATCGATTGCAAAGGATCAAGTTGAAGCTTTGAAGGCCCCTCTTTGTGAGGCCAATAAGATCAAGAATGCTAGACCAGCACAACCACTTAAATGGAAGGAAGGTCCAACTTTATGATGGCAATTAGCAAAGAGTATAAATCTAAGTTGTAACCTTTTCTGGTAAATAAGTCAGATTTTCACTAATTCATTTTCATTTAACTTAGTCGAGCACGAGATCAAGCCTGAACTTTCATCTGAGCTCAAAATTTTGCTCAAGTTTAGTTTGTTTAGGAGATATTGTGTTGAAGCTCGGCTTTTGAACACCTTGTATAATAATAATCAATCCGAGCTCATAAACTATTTTTGTTCGTCTATGAGCTTCAATTTGTAATATATGGCTTTGCTATCATTTATGTATTTCAATATCATGTTTTGATTGATTGTTTTTGGTATTAATCATTTGTAATGTATAGCTTTGCTCTCATTTATATTTTTCAATATTTCAATATCATGTTTTGATTGATTCAACCTTTGAGAGTCTCCACTTCACTTATACAATTGAATGCTCGCGAGCATAATAAAAAAAAAATAAAAAAAAAATAAAAAAACTGTTTGAATCTTCCAAAGCTTTATATCTATAATATTATTAAATCTCAATAGGATAACATGTTATGTGTGATCCCTTAAGTCATAATGAAATTTATGATATGGCGTCACATACATAATGACATGACGACACATATAAATACGTGAGCCATGTTGAAACCCTTACAGGATTACACCCCTTTGAAATTTCCAACTTTTATTACCATTATTGTTTATCAAGTGAACAACTATTTCACATTGATTCACCATGAGTAAAAATTTATATTACGCTATTGTATTTATTATTTTATTCCACAATGAATGTCGTTTTAATACTTAATTAACATTAATGAGTTATAATTTTTCATTAACTTGGATTCCAATAGTTTTTAAGCATTTTATGCAAATGCCAACTTAATTGTAAAACATACAAATATACTACAACATCTCTCTTTCTACCATTTTTTTGATGAGAAATTTTAAGTAAACTATGATAAAGAAGGTAATTATTAAATAATAGGAGTGCCTTAATATGAATCTCATTGTTAATATGATACAATATGATCTAATGAGCGGACCGAATGACAAATATATGGTCAAATTCTTTTTTTCTTTTTCTATTTTTTTTTTATTTATTTTATCATAAGATTTTTAACATTCTGTACCCGTGTTCCTTTTTTTGAGATAGACGATTTTCCGTATTCGTTTCAATTCGTACCCGTATCCATGTCAGAACCTGTATTTGTGCAACCTAAGTCTATACGTGTGCAACAGTGCAACTGATCTTATATTGAACATAGTGACCCTATTATTAAATATAGTAACCTTTATTAAAACTTGTATGATTTTTAATATTATTGCAAATCTGAAACATAACAATATGTTGAATATAGTGACCTTAATTTTAAAGTAGTGACCTTTATTATTCATAAATGAAATTTGCTGAGTGATAAATTAAATTGACCAATTGCCATA